GACCCAGAAAATTGGTGTTTTATTGATATTTAACAGAGAAAATACATTAGGGTTTTCTTTTTAAATAAGTATTTTAAAACCCGCCCCTCCACTGACCCTTTGGAAAATGTATAGACTTGCCTCTTAACAGTGATCATCTGGGTTGTGAACAGGATATGAGAATTCTAGAGTTGAAGCTTTCGTGACTGCAAGGATTCATACTCTTAGGTTTTTTCGGTAAAGTCACGTTGGTACAAAAAAATAAAAAACTAATAGAAATAATAATATAAATAAAATAAAAAATGTAATGCCCGCTTCGGCATTTGTTTCTTGCTGTGGTTGTCCCACCTGATGACGGACGCTTGTGTTGCGCCCGAAACATCGTGATTTATTATTATATTAATATTATTATTTCTATTATTTTATTAATATTTTTTCTTATTTATTTTTACCTACGTGACTTTACCGAAAGAACCTAAGAGTAGGATATGAGAACCAATACCCCAAAGCTCCTTTGAGCAGCAACCAACTCTGACTCGATGCAGTGCGGATGGGTGGGTGAGCAGTTCGAGGTTTTGTCAGTCAGACTCGGCCGATCTTTCTGTGATTATTGAAACAGACGGCTCTCCGCGGTGTTTTGGGGTTTGTGCTGCGCGTTGCTCGGCGTGTTGTCCGATGTTTCACTCCCAAGTTGTGGGCACTACTTAAGGATGAATGGAAGAAGCTCCTAACACGTGGAGGGAAACGTCGGACATTGTGTGCAGCTGCAACTACGTCGGGAGGTCTTCATATAGCAGTGGATAGAACATGGCTGTTGCTGATTTTGAGGTGCCAAAATGTGGAAGACTTCATCCAGCTGTTGCTTTGAGAGTGGCCACTTAGAATAGGGTTGTAGAATGTGATGTGGCTACAGTCTTTCATTCCACTGCTAGAAGAAGGCCTCCCCATACCGTGTCAGTCATGGGGATTGTTTGACCAAACACCCATCATAGCAGAATAATAGTGCCGGCCCACAAACCATGAGTTTCAAACAACAATAACAAGACAGAAACGTGTAAAGAGCACAAATCCAGTGTGTATATGCAGTGTGCTTTTTGCATGCGTGCGTATCATCCAGCACGTGTGAGGCTGGGGCACCGTGGCACTGTGGTGGGATCGCTGGGTGAGTTCTCAGTAGAGGTGTAGTTGTGGTGGAAAGGAATGTGTTTCTAACTTTGGGCCAAGCAGTTCCCTAAAGCCCTCAAACTATTTCGTTCAGAACAAAATATTTATAGGGAGGGTGGATGGGCCCTAACAATGACCTCTGTAACTCAGGCACTATAATAATTCAGTACATTTGGTATTCACTACGCAAGGATATCACGACGCAGGGCCATCACTGAAGCAAGGTGCTGCTGGCACACAGAGTCTGAAGTAGTGTCACAGGAGAGGGCGATGCTACTGCTGCAGTGTGTGATCCCAATTGAGTAATTTGCAGGTGATTTTCCAGCATTAGAGATGTTTTGCCAATACCAGTTATTACATTGTCTTCTTATTTTAGCGTAATACAGTCTAAAGTGAAATCTTGGAAATGTTCATTGGTGGGGGTGGAGGGGCTGGAGACACACGGTAGGGTTTTAAAACGAAAGGTATCCCTCGCTTTATGCGGTAGTAGATGCATTCCATAACTACAGGTATCCCTCGCTAATGCGGTATAGCATACAGTATGCATTCCAAAAGGGCGTACAAAACGAAACCGCACAAGACAGCTGCCTGCCGAGAAGCGCGTACAGTACGCACAACTATGTTGTTCCACATATGACTGGATAGCCGCATACGAGTGAATTCAAACCACATGAAGAGAATTTTGGGTAGAATAGGTTAACTGCATAAATGCTAAATCGCACAAATCGAACCCGCATAGAGTGTGAGAAACCTGTGTTTCATCTGGGTAATCCCTCGACACGATCTTGTTTACAATGGTGTCAAGGGTGTCGGATGACATGATACATAGCAAACGGCACGCATACAAACATGCTATACGAATGATCAGTATAATTGCTATTCGTGCCATTATTAACACACCCTGCTATCATGAAGGTGCTATGTTTCACAAACAGATATGCTCTGCAGCAAGTCCCGTAGGACAGAAGGATGTTGGTTTATATAACTTCCAAATCCACTTAATCGTGACGTTTCAGTGTATTTACTTTAAACAGGTGAGAGCTCAATGTACCAGGATAGAGTTTCATTTACAAATTGAACCTGGGTTACCAAAATAACCAGCCAGATGGCAGCTAATCATGGCCGCCACCAATCCAGCTTTGACCTGGGCAGTTTGGGAATTGACGTCTGTGTTTCGGAGGCAGGAATCAATTTGTATCGATATCTGGTACCGGTATTGTGTTTAACATTATTGTGCAGTAGACTGCAATAGAATGCACGGTATAGATAGACCTGGGCTGAGTGCGAAATGTGCACGCGTTTGGTTTGTGAAAAAGGGTGGCGACCCTACAAATAGTTCACATGGCAAGTGGCTTTCTGGGCCCATCCGTGAGCCCCATGTGATTGTTGCCAATGCTGTCTTTGCACCATCAAACACCGCCACGCAATTAACTTCCCTTTGGTATATTTTGTCACTGGCCGAGATTGTGCAATGCCCTGCGATGCAGTACTCCTGCAGCCACCACTGCAGAGTGTATTCCTGTCTCGGTGCATTCCAAGGGACTGGGCCAGTGCTTTAATGTGGCCAAAAATTACAGCGACGCGAGAGCATCGCAAGAGTATTTCTGTCTTTCCCATTGACTCACGCAGCTGTGGCCAAGAGATTGAGGCCAGTGGCGTGCGTAGCTTGGCTTCAGCCTCTGCTAAGTTAGCTCAGCCATAAATAGAGTACTGTACTGTAGGAACCGTTTTCACTGTCATCATGACCACATGTCATCATGCCAGCCTAAATAGGTGCTCCTCAACAGAAGCTGCCCTCGTGGCGTAGCTATCGAGCTGTGCTTTGTGGAGTAACTGGACCAGGGCCAAGACTCCAGGATATGTAGAGGAGGGTTAAATTGGACTGGGGCCCTGTTTACTTCCACACACCAGGGTCCATCCCAACCACGCTGTGTCACTGAGACAATGAAATTGCAGTGTCAAGTTTACAACGGTATGATCCCATGTACAGCTCTTTTGTCACTCCACTGCTGGATGACTGCCTCTCCACGCCTTGTCAGGCATACTTCACCACTCTGTTCAGTGTAGGTGTATGAAGGGGGCGCTCGGTATTGGTCTGGTTATCACTAGTCACTAATGCAAGCCCTGGCCGCCTATCTGGGTTTGAGCCGGACAGTCCAGGAATTTTCATCTGTGTTCGGGTCACAGGAATTTATACTGGTAGGAACCCACTGGTTCCACCAGCCCACAGGGGATTATTGTGTCCGTCCGTCGTGCAGGAGAGGCTGGGTGGGGAGGGCTGGGTGGGGAGGGGAGGGTGGGGAGGGTGGGGCTGGGTGGGGAGGGGCTGGTCACCCCGTGGTGCCCTTATAAAACTCAAGGTTTAACCTACTCACGCCGTCTTCTTGGTTCTTTCGGTAAAGTCACGTAGAAGGGAAGTAATAAAATAATAAAAATAAAACATAATAAAATAATTCTCACGACGTTTCGGAACGTGTTGAGTGTTGCTGTTGACTGTGCTTGTGCATCACTGCCAACGCAGCAGGATCACCGAATTATTTGTATTGTCCAAACAAGACAAAGCTCAAATGAATTTATTCATCATCAACCATGATCAGTACACTGCTGGATGAAGGCCGTGTCATCATTCGGTTTTATTTGACCATACTTCACCACGCAGGTTAGTGCGGGTTGCTTTACACTCTGGACACCCTTAAGCAATCAAAAATAAGATTGATTTTATTTCGACTGGAGGAGAAATCCAATAAGCTATGAAGCTATTTTCACAGATGTCCAGTAGAGGTGGGTCAGCAAGTTACAATCCAAAAATTGAAAATAAATATAAACAAAGTATTTAAATCCCAATAATAGGGTTTATCTCATTTTTTCTGGCAACAAAACTGAAACCTTTTTACAATGAATCATGTGTGCATTAACCACAATACTTGTGGTCAAAATGCAAACAAAAAACACACTTTGATAATATATGCATTGTCCTTGAAACTGATTGGTCCACACCAGAGACGGCTTTCTTTTGAGCCTCAATTGAATAAGTGCATACATTCTTGCAGATTTTTCAACACTACACTTATTTGCAAGCTTGGGCAAAGCAGCAAAACAACAGTTCCAGACCACAACAAGAAAACACACAGTCCCCCAATAAAAATGCATATTAAAAGGTAACCTTTCGAATCACGGCTAAAGGTCAAAGTTAGCATATGTGGATTTATCCAGCACGGTTTTATAAAGGAAGATTTACGATGTGAAGGTAGGAAACAATGTTGTTCCAAAACATTGGTGCTGTGACGGCAAAGACTTTATCACCAATGTCAGTTCTTGTTCTAAGGATAGTTAAAAGACAATTAGACGAATGTTTTGAGTTTATAATTGGGGTTAATGAATTAGCGAAATATTGTGCAGCCCAAATTTGCCAAAAAGAATGATACGGATGAACATGGCGCAATGTAGATTTCTTCTCGCACCAAGCGAGGTGAGATACAGTTTTAAGTAGATGTCACAATTATCACCCTCAAGGTAAAATAGTATACATTTTAGGACAATTTAACTGCACGTTTCATATGGTAACACTAATAAGCCATGCGCTCACCCAGCCATGCGCATCAGTGTTACCATATTTACGTCATCGCCGGTCGGCGCCACTAACCAATCCAGGCGTTCTAGAGGGGACAGTAGAATCCGTACAACGGATGCGCATGGCCGGGGGGAGGGGCTTCCTTGTCGGACGTTGCCATTGGTCAATCCGTCGCGAGGCCTCGCGTCGCTATTGGCCGACGCTCCAAACCGGCCATCGTCCGTTGACCAATGGAGAGGCCGGCATCGGCCGATCCGCGCTGGGAAATGCAAAGACCCTCCACAGAGACCACGGGCGCGGAAGGGCGAAAGGCGGCGGCGGCAGCAGCAGCAGCAGAGAGACGTCTGAGAGCGAGGCCACCTAAACATTCACTTTAATTACAATCGTTCCGTTCCAATTAACTCGTCGACGATGGCCGGAGTGAACTCGCTGGACGGGGTGAAGATGAAGATCAAGACGCTGCAGCAGCAGGCGGACGCGGCGGAGAACCGCGCGGCCGAGTTGGAGCGCGCCGTGCGGGCCGAGGAGTCGGTGCGAGCCCAGGTGAGGCGAGGCGAGGCGGGGAGAGGGCCTCGTACAAAGTTAAAGAAGCGATTCGAGGTTGACCACAGGGGAATTAGAGGAGACTTTGAGGGAAATAGAAGTGGCGAGTGGGAGCGACACGAGGAGAAAGAGAGAGAGGAGTTGGTGACTCGAGAAAATTCTGGGAGACAGAAATTATTGAGAAGGAAATCGAATTTCGATTTAAAGCTTCTTTCGTGACTGCAGGGATTCATCTTCTTGGTTCTTTCGGTAAAGTCAGGTAGAAGGGAAATAATAAAATAAGAAAAGGAAAACATAAAATAAAAATAAGAAAAATAAAACAATACAATAATAGTAATAAAAATAAAATACTTTTATTATTTCCCTTCTACGTGACTTTACCGAAAGAACCAAGAACAAGGAAATAGAAGCAACCAGAGGTGACTTGCATGCAACTACAGTAACGAGAGGTGGTGGCTTGAAGACGAACTACATGCAACTTAGAGGCGACTAGAATGGATGTAAGCGACTGACTATCGTCTACAGACAACTGCATTCACCTTCGCTCTACACAGCACGAACGCGACTCGTGGTAGTTGTACAGCGACTTGTGTCCCTGAAATGTGACCATACTTCACCACGCTGGGCAGTGCGGGTTGGTGAATGGTGGGATGCCACAGGGTGCCTGGGTTTACTTGTAATGGAAACCATTCCTGTATCCCAACTCTATCCCCTTCACCGTATCGCCCACAGTGAGGGTCTAATTTAACTCGCCCACACTCACTCTTCTTTGAGTACAGCTCGAAATGTAACCGTAGCACTCACATTAGCAGCCAGCCAGATATATATATATAAAACCCTTACCCCTACCCTTGCCCCTTAACCTAAATATATACTTGACCCACTCGTCCTAATTCATTTTCTTCAAACATAGCCCCAAGGCAGTCACAGTATCAGCCCCAGTTATACATCTCACACGGAGTTCAGCTAATTTAGTTGTAAAGTATTGCCTATAGGCAACCCGCACTGACCAGCGTGGGGAAGTATGGTCAAACAACCGCCATGCCGCATGCCTGCGTGTACAATGTGTTTGTGTGTGTATACTGTATATGCATCTAAATTTTGAAAGACCATATCGTTTTCATTAAAGAGATGTATCTCAATGGGCGCTCGCGCGGATATACAAGTGCAAGTTTTGCCACTCCAACAATATTTGTTTAATTTAATATCTTGAATCTCTGTCGTGCACGACATTGGTTGCGGTTTGATTTGTGCCGAGACTGTGTCATTTTGCCATCATCTGAAGCCTCCACGGGGGCAGATCGCAAGCAGCTGTCAGATGTTGAGTGCCATAAATGTTGAATTGAAAGTTGTACTTCTTTCGCACCGTACGTAGCCAACCGTGTTAATAAATCCATGGACGAGGGCCCTCCCCACGCCCTGCGGGGGTCATTCGGTGATTTGGGCATACCTTAGCACCCTGGCTCAGTGCGGGGTTGGTGCAGGCGGGGAGCATAGATTCTCAGTACAACAATGGATGTTGTTCCACTGCCATTTTCGAAACACAATGTAGCCTTACATCAGCCTGTAACAGCTTCTGTGCGGGAGATTAACAGCGGCGTTCTAGTCATCCCCAAAAGAAAACGGAGTCATTACACAGGGTAATAAAACGTAATCATTTACAGCTTTTTTGTCAGTCCACTGCTCGATGAGTACCTCCACATGCCGTGAAGATGGAGAGGGGGGGGACTTGATTGACAAAGTCTTTACCAAGCCAAGAAGCAGGATATTTGCATAAAATGTCACCTACATGTTTATATTTTTACTTTTAAAGCTACACTTTGTTTAATTGGAGCGCATGGATGCTTTGACTTCATGCCGACCGGGTAGGTGAAGGCGTTGAGGGTATAAATGTCGAGTTAGAGAAACATGAAGTGTGGAGGGGAGGGAGGGAGGATTCGTGTGGACTCGGGGTCTGCTGGCTCAGACAGGGTGTGCACCGCAGAAATGTGTGGAATGCGCGTGTCAGGCAAGGTGTGGCAGCCAGGCCAGCAGCAGCAGCAGCCTCTCACTGTCTTAAGCTTCCTCCACCGCCAACAACCCCGCTGCAAAAAAAGGACAAAGATCTTTTAGCCTTCACTTACTTTTTGGGAAAATGCTGTTAGCGAGTAGCACCTATGAAGAAGGTACGATACACGGGCGGTCGGTGGCCAGCACTATGTCCTGCCGCCTTGATATCCAAAGTGGCAATGTTTAACACACCGCACTAGTTACTAATTTGAGGCGTAAAAATCTAGGAGATGCCCAGGACCGGTTCAGATAATCGTCCCTTGGTGTTGGTGGCCGTGAGTGGGAATCTAACTCGGATCGCCGAGTTCATAGCGCGGTACGCTAACCACTACACTTTCGCTCTCCACTGCACTCGCACACATGCACAACACTTGTTGGAGGAATCGTGAGAGGAAGAAATACGTGTTCGAAACCTTGAGAAAGGAGAAGATGTCTGTTCGAAGAAAGACGCCCATGAATAGAAAGCACGTTGGTTGTTTCTGCGCCCAGGGCTCCCACGCACCACGCCCTTCCTCTTGTCAAGGCCCCTCGCTCTGGGTGACTCACGTCCTGCGGGGGAAGCGGTAGTCTAGTGGCGAGTGCACTGCGCTATGAACCTTGTAACCCGGTTTCGATTACCACTCACAGCCACCACAAGTGACGGTTATTTGAACCGCTCTTGGGCATCCCCTAGGTCGACTCAGCCTCAAATGAGTTCCTGGTGTGGTGTGTAATCATTGCCACTAGGGAGATGAAGGCGGCCGGGCGTGGTGTTGGCCACCCACTCCTCGTATGTAGTGCCGGCCTTCATAGGTGCTCGCTAACAGCTCTTGCCCCAAAAGTTTGTTAAGGCTACACGAGGAATCTTTGTCTTTGGAATCACGTCCTGTTCTGTGGCCGGAAGTTGCCCGGCTTGCGATGGCGGCCACGGCGTGAATGAGTCGTGCAGACGTGCGTGGGTGGGTGTGTGTGTGTGCAGATTGTGTGTGCGTGTGGCTGGTGCATGTCGCCTGCATACCCAGCCACGGCATGCCCAAGCAGCTTCTGTACGACTGGATAGATGGGGCTTAACGGGCGCTCCACGGGCTAGAGAAGAGACGGACTGATGCGGTACAAGAGGATATGGAGCTGAGTGGGCTTTCATATTTGTGCCACCGGCCTCTGAAGGAGGCGCGTGAAGGATGCTACTGGGCAGTTGGAGGCAGTCGCCCCCCAAAATCAGCGGAGGGCAGATGAACTACGCTCATAACAACAAGGGTAGTTGCGGGTGGCAAAAACACAGCAAGTTGGCACAGTAGGAGGCACAGGTGGTACATCTGCCAGTCATCTAGTCAGTCAACCCCTGGCACCTGGGTCTGTCCCGTGATCTGGCAGGAAGCCTTAGACACTTCACGTGGCCTCAAAGTGCACATAGCCTGGCACAAGCGCCGTGGTGTTGCAACCACCACTTAGTGGTGAACACCAGTTGTATGAAGATGTTTCTGCGTAATTGTCTAAAATATGTGCAAGCATGTCTGAAATTGATTTTGTGAGAAGATGTGTGATAGTGTAGCAGTTGGCATGCTTCGCTACGAACCCGGTGACCCGAGTGCGATTTCCGCTCATGGCCAACACCAGAGACCAATATCTAACCAGTCCTGGGCTTCCCCTAGGTCATCTCAGCCTCATGTGTACCCAGTGCAGTGTGTAAACGTCGCCGCTAGGGAGACAAAGGTGGCTGAGTGTGATGCTGGCCACTCACCCCCTCGTGTGCCTTGCCGGCCTTCATAGGGGCTTGTTGACAGCACTTGCCCCAACCGTTTGTTAAAGGCTATACGGGGGATCTTTGTATTTATACTTTTGTATAAATGTGTGTTTGTACGTGAAGAAGTATTTTTCTTTATCCTTGAGAGAACTCGGAGATGAGGATGAGTCTAATTTGCTAGTGACCTGGGTCTCCACAATGGCAAACTCATAAAAAAATACAATGAAGCAAATACAAAACAGACCAAAACAACTGTCGCATTAGAAATCTAAAATATTGCACAAACTTAAATCATTGTTAAATAATCAATTATCTGTCGAGCAAGCTGGCTTGTGCAGATGGATTTTAGACTCTTTGCAGGACAATTGCAATTAAGCTACAGAAACATTAAACATATAGAGGGCTGACTGTTGTCATAATATGTAAATGATCACGAATGTACAAGTCAAATCCAATTGCTGGTGAAGTTTTAAAGAATTGACAGTTGCATGTCAAAGTGTGATTTAGATGAGAGAGCAACAAAGGACAAGTTTAAAGTTAAGGCATCCCCAGTGTTTGTGACATTCATAGAGAATGAGTGGGAACCATGCACACCATTTTCCTTGGAATAGTGCGCTTTCGTCTTGTGGGGCTTTTTAGATTTAAAGCATGATGGCCCTGAATAAAAACTTAGCATATGTAAGGGGCTGTGTTATGCGAGTTATGTGTATATCTATTAGAGATGTAGGTTTGAAGATGTGTGTGTCTGAAAGCATCTACAATTTTACATACAGGCATGTGTCTTAAGTGTGTGACTGAAAGTGTGTGTTTTTGTGAGTGAGTGTCCGTGTGGGGAGCGGTAGCGTAGTGGTTAGCACTGTGCTATGCACCCGGTGACCCGAGTTACATTCCCACTCAAAACCAATAACAGCTGCGAATATATGAACCGGTCCTAGGCCTCCACCAGGGTGGCTCAGCTTTAAATGCATACCTCGTGCAGTGTTTAAGCCATCGGACACTGGGGACGTGAAGGCTGGGCATGGTGATGTCCACCCACCCGTCATGTTTCATCCTGGCTACAATAGGTGCCCGATAAAAATCTGTCACTTTCCCATAAATTCTGTCACTTTCACATTCAGTCTGTTCGGCTATATGGGGAAGGGGGGTGTCTTTGTCTCGTGTGTGTGTTCTTTCTCTTGCCCTGACCTTGGCGAGCATTGCCATCAATACAACAGCTGCTGTGGACAGCTTGAGCTTCAGCAGATGCCCTCGTATCATTCATCTGTTTACTCTTTGTAAGCCAATGTTTGACCAGGATGGTGAAGAATGGTCAAACCTACCCTCATAATCAGAATTGCATGTAGAGGTCTTCATCCAGGAGTGAATTTGTACAGGGCTGTGCATTAAATTACCTCTGGATTTGTATTGGACACCTGATTCCCAGACTGCTGCCCTATTTACTGTGCTGTCAGGCTTAATTTTAATGGATTTCTGTTCAGCACTAAAACCAAAATGACTTTGTTCATAATTGATGTTCAGCATGCTCAAATATTTGTATACCACGTGACGGTTAAATTTGTTTGGCTGTGTTAGGTGGTGGAGGACCTTTACGACACATCATCTTGTCAGATCATTACGTGGCCTAACCCGACAAATTCATTACAAATCGTAACATTGACAGTGAAAACTTACACGCATGAGTTAACAATGACTCGCTTTAGACGTTTCCTCCTTTAATTGGCTGATTTGACTTGCCGGCATGTTTTGTTTATTCAGAATTGGAAAGCATTGCTGTTGTTTCCCCTGGAGAATGCCTTCTCGCGCTTTGTCAGTTGTGTAACCATTTGCCCATAGACCACTGCTTTGTTTTAAATTCTCAGTTCTGCTGCACTGCTTCATTAAGTCTTAAAGGAAGCTGGTCCCATTAGAAACAAGACTAATTTTTAGCTCTCTGTGAATTAACTGCTGGATGAAGGTTTCCCCAGGATGTTGACATATACCATTGTTTTTTATTTGTTGGTGCTGTTGTTGCCCTATATTTGTTTAATTAGTAGAATTTTTTGTAATTGTGAAGGTAAATCTGCCTGAGACGATTAGCACTGCAGGGAATTTGTGTGATATCAGTTGTTTTTGTTATTTCTATTTACTTAATTATTGTAGTTGTATTAGTATTTGCTCACACTTGAAAGTTAGGCTAATCCTAGTCTATTGAGTTCTCACCTGGTTAAACAAAACGGACTTTAAACTTGACCTATGCCTCATCACCTCTGTGAGTGTGGGTTGATAAAGGCCAGTTAGCTCAAGCCCAGTTCAGATACCACTGATACTGATGTTAGCCCAGGCCTGGAATCAAACTCTGGTGGCCAGTTTTGTCGTGCAGTGTGCTAACTTCCCAGTAAGGAATTACTTAATCCTAAATACAATTTCCAGTGATATTACAATTATGTTGCAGTAATTCCCATTACATATTGTAACCCAATTTGAACGGTCTTAATATTTATTTCGGTTGTGGTACAATGGCTAATGCAGTGTTTATTTAAAGCCGTAAAAGAGGAGCGCATTGTTTCAAGAGTCTCATTTATTATTAGCATCAAGTACTGCGGCTCTCGGTGATAGGACATTTATGGTCATAACGCGACGGCAATCTGCATTTTGTTATTTGACCTGGCGAAAGCTCTTCACCACCATCTCAACTAAGTTAACTCATAGGTTTTTGCAGTCAATGTTATACTTAATTTGGAGCTTTCCTGATTGCAGGAATTACTCTTTGGTTCTTTCGGTAAAGTCACGTGACTTTACCGAAAGAACCAAAAAGTTAGTCAATGTTATGTTCCATAATATAGATTTGGGTGAGGCCTTGCTATGATCAAACCAGATCTGAAAACAAAAATGAGGCGGTGTTATGGGTGAAGGTTTTTAGTTTTCGCAAAAACAACGAAGATAAGCAGACGATGTCTCTTAAATATGTTTGTGTCTGCACATACAAATGTTAGTATTCCTGTGGCCCCGTAACCTTGACCAAATTGTTGTCATTACAACCCTCCACCACCCAACACAGCCTCACTATTTAAATTGTCACTGTGGTGTACGAGCATTTAAGAACTCGCCAGTTATTACTTCAGCTCACTGGTACATTGAAGAACAATCTTCACTTGCAGTTAGATGCGACGCTTTGTTTGAAACTACGGACAAGATCAAGGAAGTCGGAATGGATTTTTATTCAGACTTCCAACACAAAGGGATATATTCTCTGAAATATTTTACTCAATAAAATCATACGTAAATGTTGGTAGCTAACCATTTTATGAACAGAAAGTAGTTTTTTTTATGTAACACTACTCTGCCCTTTCCTTAAAAAAATGCTAATTCTAACATTGCTCAAGTTAATGCAGGCCGTATTGCCGGAAAGTGTTTGTTACCTTCACGTCCGCGAGGACTGGCTTCACTAAAATGTGATAACTCAGAAGATGTGACCACTAGGATCAATAATTCGATTGGGGAGCTTAGCAGATTAGAGTACTTGATATTGACTTGTAAATTACAAGGGTTGGATTGTTCAAATTCCATCCCTGCAGGGTGGCGACGTCACCAGAAATTGCAGTCCAAGTGGGTCTAGAAAAACCATTGAAGTCATTCAAAGACACGTAAAAACTCACGATTCCAATGGATTGTAAAAGTCACGATACATACGGGTATGTATACAGTATACTTCTATATACCAATTAGTATCTTGAATCGTGCATAGAGAAGTTCTTCGTTCACAACCGGTTTATAGAACTTAGATGACAACATTTAATATAATGAAACGAATGGGATAGAACAAACGAGACAGATGATAAAAACGAGATGAAACAAAATAGTCGGTTCTTATTTCACTTAATGACCTGAGTCGTGGCGGTTCATCGGTTCGTGGGCGGTGACACGACCCAGTGAGAGGGCATTCGCTGCTTGTCGTAGAGGTTTTCAGTTCAAATCCGACAGGCTGCCCCAATTAATCATGCGGCTGCATTCGCCATGAAATACTACGAGCTGTCGGCTTTACACAGAATCAGAATCTTTATTTAGACTGGAGGAGGAATCTGATGAGCTGTGAAGTTTTTTCACAGATGTCCAGTAGGGGTGGGGTCAGCAAGTTACAACAACAAACAATAAAAAACGATAAGAGTGCAAAGTAGAGAAAAGGTAAGCAAGTTACTAACAATAAATACATAAATACTCATATAAAGTGTATTAGTACATATTGCACAAGTACATACATACCTGCTGATTTTTCAACACTAAATGCAAGTTTCGATTTAAAGCTTTCGTGACTGCAGGGATTCATCTTCTTGGTTCTTTCGGTAAAGTCACGTAGAAGGGAAGTAATAAAATAATAAAAATAAAACATAATAAAACAATTCTCACGACGTTTCGGCCACAACGCAAGCAGCCGTCCTCAGGTGAAAACCAGGTCCGTCGAGGCGACAGAGTTTCAGACTCTGTCTGAAACTCAGCCGTCCTCAGGTGAAAACCAGGTCCGTCGAGGCGACAGAGTTTCAGACTCTGTCGCCTCGACGGACCTGGTTTTCACCTGAGGACGGCTGCTTGCGTTGTGGCCGAAACGTCGTGAGAATTGTTTTATTATGTTTTATTTTTATTATTTTATTACTTCCCTTCTACGTGACTTTACCGAAAGAACCAAGAAGACTAAATGCAAGCTTGGGCAAGGCAGCAAAACAGCAGCAAAAGTCCCAAACCACATCAAGACAACCTACAGTTCCACAATTAAATTACATTTAAAAGGATACACGGCTAAGGATTAAAGTTACAAATCACATTTGCAAATGTGGTTGTATCCAGTCCTAACCTTCTGCTTCGGGATATTTTTAAAGGAAGATGTTAAGGGAGGAAACATGGTTGTTACAAAAGTTGCAACGGCAAAGGCTTTGTCACCAATTCCAGTTCTTGGGATAGTTAAAAAGCAATTAGATGGATGTATCTCATCGCCTTTTAACGTCCACTCAGCAGGACCCTCCTGAAAAAGTCTTGAGACTCGGCGAGAGTCTCCTGGGTGAACAAGTGTAATAACAGAAATGAATAAAGTTGATATTGTAGGCAGGGCAAATCGTTACATGTAATTTATCACCAGTCGGCTATTGTGGTTGTGCAAGCACGGTGGCCCACATTCTCAACATGCGGCTGATTAATTATGGAATAAATTCAACCCCCGAGGGCGAAGAAAGTTGCCATAGGCCAGATATGTCAAGCATAATATAATCAACTCACATGTAGCCAGTGCTTTTTAAAGAGCTTGGGTGAACACATGTGGAGGCGTTGTATTAGAGATGGGCTATAATCCGATTACTTTATTGAGGGATTCCTCCACTGATTACCAGGATCGATCGAATAATCCGTAAAGGTGATGATAGTTGGGGAGGGGAGTAAAAAAAGTGTTCCCTATGTCCCTGCAAGTGCAGCTGGATGGAAAGTGATGGATGGGGTTTGGTGACATCATCAGCTTCATCATTGGCCATGTCACGCTTGTCACTGCTTATAGGTGGGGTTTCTGTCTTAGGAGGCCCAAGTAATCAGCCACAAAGTGCACAATTACAATTTTTAAATACACGATTAGGCCCAGTTCTGATGAAAATTTTGTGAATGCTTTGTAAGCGGTGAGCGTACACATGCAGGCATTGTATTGAATGGACTAATATGTTTTTTTGATTGGTAAATATCTTTTTGGGTTAGGCGACCCCAGTGTGTGGCCTAACTCAAACATCAATTGTTGTACGTGTGTTTAGCGATGGAAGGAAATGGGAGAACCCGGAGGAAACTCATGCAGAACAGGGTGGATAGAATATAGACTCCACACGAAAAGGCATCTGAGTTGGGAATCGAACCCGGGGCCTTGTTGTACTGCCACCACCCTGCCTCTGCTGACTCCGAGGTTTTGCTAACCCGCGAGTGACATGTTCCCCGTGCCCCGGCAGGCGGAGGCGAAGGCGGCGCAGCTGCGCGACATGATTGCGGAGAAGGAGGAGAAGCTGGACAACACGCTGGAGCAGCTCAACAACGCGCTGCGGCGTCTCGAAGAGGCCGAGAAGGTGGCGGACGAAAGCAAGCGGTGAGTGCTGACTACTGCAGTACTGACTGATGCAGTACGGACTCGTACTTCCCTTCGCTGACTTACATAGAGCTGACTCGTACTACCCTTGACTGACTTGCACAGAACTGACTAATACAGTCCTGACTTACACTTCACTGACTTATGCAGACATGACTTAGGCGGCATTAATTTAACACGTAATATGTCACAGCCAGAGTAATTCGTAATTAATTTTGGGTTAAGCTAACTTTTGCTCTGCCGCTCGTTACCACTCGTGTGCAGGGGCACGCGCGTCATCGAGTCGCGCGCTGTCAAGGAGCTGCAGCGTCTGGGGCGCCAGGAGGACCAGCTGCGTGAGGCCAAGATGATCGCGGAGAGCGCTGACCGCAAGTTTGAGGAGGTGCGCGATAGAGCCGAGGAATAAAAAACAAACTACTTCACCATACCCGCACTGACCAACTTGATAAAGTATTTTATTATTTTATTATTACTTTTTCTTTTACCGGTTAAAGGCCACTCACCTATTAGCTCTTCTTCGGAAGCAACTTTGCCACAAGTGATAGCTCAACTAAGTGGCTTGTGTGTAAATTTATAGAAGCAGCCAAATCATCTTAACTCATGTGTCTAAATGTGGAGGGAAAAACTAGAGGACCCAGAGAAAAATCTATGCAACCATGGGGAGAACATGCAAACTCCAAACTGCATACCAGGCGAAGGTGATAACATCTCGCCACAGCGGAACCCTGAGGGGTGATGTCATCAGAGAATGCGGTTCAAGTGGGTTTAGAAAAACTTACTACATCATTCAAAGAGGTGTGCGATAGAGCTGAGCTGTCCCATTATATTTATCTGGAGTATTATTATTATGGTTACCCTACTTTATCCAGGAAAGTCTCACTGAGTCTCCCAATACTTTTTCAGGAGGGTCCTGCTAAGCTTTAGTCAGATAATGACGTTTGCTTTGTGTTTGTTTCCAAATTAGTATTTTTTTCAATGACAAATTTAGACCATGACACCATCCCACAAAACAGTCCGCTATTCGTCAAATAACATCATGAGATCTTTAACATCCACTGTGAAGCAAACTGTAATTTATGGTTAATATACAACTTGCTATTAACCAGGGTAGCCTGCTAGATTCAAACTGCGAACCTCTGCAACAAACGGTGAACACACTATCCCTAGGTGGTGCTGCCGTCCTGCGGATTTTACCGATACACCCAAAGCACACATCGAGTTTCTGAAATGTGTGATACGAAGCCACTGTTGTTGGCTAAACATTTCAATACAGGTATCCCTCGATTTATGAACGTTCGGTTTACGAAATTTCACGTTAAAGAATTGCACAATTACAGACACTTTTCGATTAATGAAATCGAATTTCCACATTAATGAAATTTTACATGGCACACGCCGTGAGATCAAACAAGAGCCACCCGGGAGGCTGCGTCGTCCATCCACAGCTGCGTCACGGTATTCTTACAGTACAACAGTAACGTCTCCACATCACTTTTCCAGTTATCCCAACATGCAGATCTTCTGTTGCGTTCCCTGAAAAGATTAATGATAACGATCCACTGCAACGTAGCGGATATGTTGTACTGGACATGCACTAATGAAATGGGCGTAGACGTGGCAAAAATTGTATTTTCTTTTAATTCTACAGGGCACTAGCTAACTGCAGTGAAGCACCAGCTGAGATATTCATTTATCAGTTTTGGGGAACGATTTTACTCAACTCCCGTTCTTCAGGGTTTGCCGGACACACCTTTAAGAAGGGGAGTTGAATAAAATGTATTTCTGAAACTGATATTGCCGTTTGGCACGTGAAGATCTGGGCTGACAGTTCACTGCAGGTTCGCGTGCCGTAGCTTTTGAAAACATGGACGTGCGAGGTGTTTTTATTTTCGCAAGCCGCATGTCAGGCGATGAGACCGCGTCTCTGCCAAGGGCTGGTGGGGAAGCACTGCTCGTGCATCGTGTGACGGATAATGAGAGTCGCCTTTGTGTGAGCGTTTGTGCGTTTCACCGTCAGACAACAGACACAATCTGTGTCAATGTTGATGGGGTGTCACAGTCTGTCGGCAGTAATTATGTGGCCATGCTCCACCACACTATTTCTGTCTCTCAAGCTCCATGCCCTTTGGTCCTCTGTCGTTGGTCATGTGAGACAACTCGAGGCTCCAGCTTAAACGCTGTGGTGTGAAGGAGACAAAGGATCTGATACATTTGGACATTTTATTTCTCCCCCTATCTGGGTGTCCGTGGGAGACAGGCGGTCGGGCGTTCCGCCAGCCGCAGCATCACCTGATGGCAAGCCCTTTGCCATCAGTATGTTAGAGTTATAGGGGGGGGGAAATCTTTGTGTTTACCATTGTGTGTGTGTGTGTTATCCGCACAGGCAACTAACAAGTTTGTCCACCTGGAGAGTGAAATGGATAAGTTGGACGAGCATGCCAAGCATTCAGAATTGTAAGTTACGATTCATCGTCACTGGATTTTATTCTGGCTTCCCTGATCTTGTTCTGAAGCTGTGTGGAGCAGTTTCAAACAAAACCTCACATCTCCTCTCGATATTTGATTGTTATAATTGTTCACCAACTCACCGGTAAATGAGCTGAAAGAACGATAATTGGCGCATCGTTAAACGCTCGTGTGACAATTACATTTGTGTGCTTGAGTGAGGTGGTGGAGGGAAACTTTAAAGTCCCTCCTTGGTCAGATCATTACGTGGCCTAACCCAGAAATGAACTGTGATTCGTAACATTGGCTGGAAAAACCTACGTGTCATTGTAAGTCATGTCTACATGGCTGCCACTGCTTTGAATTTTTAAAATTCTGTGTAATTTGGTCAGAGGCTTGTCAGTATACTGTACATATATAGAGATGTATACAAAACACGTGTGTGTACGCGACACACTGCAGCCTGTGTTAGTGCTGGGCACTAGCGATTGCCTGCCGATTATCGCATGTTGGCGCCAAGTTGCAAAGTGTTCTGGTTAGAACCAGGCATGGCAATGGGGTGTGTATGGCAGATGCCAAGCGTTAACAGAGTGAATTGGGAGATGGGGTTGAGTGCTAGGGTTCTGGTTATGGTGAGGAATAAGGGATGGTGCCTGGGTGGTAGAGTCTGGTGTTAGGTTATGGTTGTACAGTTGGTTTATTGTTTCGAGCTAGTGTTAGGATCTGGTCAACTGGTTAAAAAATGTAAGCAGGCTTAGACAGGGACACGCTGCTATAAGGGATGGATGGGACAGTGGTCACATAAAAATAGTGGCAACTCAGGAATGGAATTTCACTTTTGACATTCACGGCGCTCGTGGTGTATGCCTTGCCACTTGAGAAGGCATTGTCTGCGCTCACCGTGAACCCTTAGTCTAGATCAGGGCTCCCCCACCGGCCTGTCCGCAAGGCCGTGGTAAAGTGGTATGCGGAGCTATTGCAGATGCTTTTATGTTGAAAAAAAATGCCAATTCTCTCTTATTGTACTCGTCACACAACGAAGAAGCATCAGCTACCCAATTAAAACAAGTCAATTAAAAACTTTTGAAGAGTCTGCATGGCTTTTTAATTGACATTGGACAGAGCTTTTGAGTGTAGTTTTAATTTTGAAAATTATGTGAGTGGCGCAGGGTGGTCTGCGAAAATGTGTTGAAGGCTGACCATAGGCCTGCTGGTCCAGAAAGTTTTGGATCTCACTGGTTTGGTTAGTGGGCACTTAGCAGAGTTTGCCAGGGTGCTGTGACAACCGTGGTCATCATTGTTGCTTTTGGCCGACTATTATTAGTTGTTAATTTTTGCTGTCATTTCTATTTGCTGTATTGTCCTTTTTATAATTTAGATTGTGTCACTTTGGTGACCTGAAGTCAGGTCACGTTTGCAAATGACTCATCCTTGTCTTTTGAGTCCTTACCTGGTTTAACAAAAAACACACACACAAACACCCCTGAACTCATGCTATGTAGCTAACAGCACCGCTCGTTTCTTCTCAGCCGTGCCAAGCAGCTGGAGGAGGAGCTCAGATTAAAGTCTGCACAGCTACAGTCACTGAAGGCGGGCGAAAAGAAGGTGAGATTGGCTTCGAAGTAGCAGCTTGCACCTCTGAAAATTGCTTAAACCACGGGCTCCGTTGGGGCTAATGGGGAATGTAATTCCTGTTTTGCACTGCACAACCAAGCCGTGCCAGGGTTGCGCCGAACCAGCCAGAGCCACCAGCGTACTGATGTCCCGTCTGGTCCTGCTTGGCCCCCGACCTAGATCAAGAGTTCTCGCGAGGATCTTGTTTCTGTTTCGGATCAGCACTGCAATCAGTCGGTGGAAAAAACAATTAGTGATCGTAAGGAACTTTGCGCTGGCTCGGCTCTGATGTGCCAATGAAAAGGGGTATAAGATGCCATTAAATTCAGTCTGTCCTGGAGTCTCACATTCACTCATAAGTGATTATGGTCTCTAAAGGGCCCAATCCAAAGGCATCAGCCATTCATTTAGTTAATCGTGCATTTACCTTGCGGAAATTTTGCCAATAGTACGTTTATGGTGAATCGCTTAGTTTTTAAATGTTTTGTAGTGGTGCACTGCTTACCGTTGGAGTTCCGAATGTAAATTTAAGTTCCATGATATTGATAGCACATTCGGAATATCAGGGTTAAATGCAGAAGTTGTAAATGTTGAATTGTGTTTACGTGTGTTACCAATTCTGTGTTGTGTGATTTGTCTATTTGGCCTCTTCCCCTGGTGTCTCCTGCTCTTCGTGACTGCCCTTGACCTGCTCTGGCTCCCTGCTCTACTTGGTGCTTCTCTTCACCCTTCTTCTGCCTCCTCTTCCCTTCACTGCTTCTACACATGCACCCACACACGCACCCACAGTACCCATGTACGCACGCACACACACCCGGCACGTCATCGCACTGCGTCGTGACTGCTCAGGCGGATGAGTAAACCTTGCAGCCCCTTCGTGCCTGGTGCTAGCGCTTATGCTGCCAAAAACGTGTCTAGCTTTCAGGGTTCATACAGGAGCGCTTCCACATCCTTGAAGATCGTAGCCAAATAGGAAAGTGGTCCGTCTGCTTGGCCTTGCGTGAAAACAAAGCCAGTGATATCCAGAGCCAGTGGTAGAAGTTCCTCGCTCCTATGGTGGGGGCGAAGTCTCTCAGTAGTTCAACCACTGTTGATATTCTCCGGATAGTTGGACTCATTTTACTGACTCCGGTGGGGGAGAGACGATTGGCCGAGTTGACCCCCACCGCAACCAGCATACGAACTTGTGACCTTCCGATAGCGAGCCGTTCACTTTACCGCTGAGCTACCTGGAAATAAAAATAGTTACATTTAAATAGTTGATTTTTGGGTTAGGCCACAAATGACCTGGTTGATTTTTTAAATGAAACTTTGACCCAGATCTTCTCTAAAACTGCTTAGTGTGACAAGAAGTAGCTCATTCGAAAATGCCTTTGTCTAATCATAAAAATTACCCTGTCCTAGCCAGCCCGCTTGAGATAAACCTTTGCCCTTGCAAAAAATGGGGAACTGTCAGCGCTGTTTTTTTATGCCACTTCTGGGTATCGGTGGTGACTGTGCTGCCTTTTTTTCCGCTTGCGTCCGTTGCAACAGTGTCTAAAGGTGGGTGTGTGTGTGTGTTCAAAGTGCCTTCGGTGTTTGCCTTGGTAGATGTAAGGCCACCCAAAGGTGTGTGAGGAGGGGGTACAAACGGGGAGACATGTTCCTGGCCACACACAAAAGGGCCCACAGAATAGGCCTGTATTTTGTTGCAAAGAATGAGAGCCCATGGTGACATTCAGCCCTGGGCCCCCAACCCTGGACCTCTGGGTGGGCCTGTGTAGATGTGCATTCTCATTCATCTTAATTGGAGTCCATTGGAAGATACATTGTGTGAGTTTGTAACTGTTTTAAATATAATTAAAATGGAAATAAATACAGGATGACGCAGTTATAGATGCCCCACTGATTTATAACGACTCTCTTGTTCCATAAATGTTGTGAGCAGATCAAACGGGTCATGTTGAAGAGAGTGCTTTCAGAGAGAAGTGTTACGAGATTTAATTAGTCTGAGCTCAATTGTGGTTGCACATAGCGTAGCAATCATCACCCCTACTTCCAGACTAATGCCTGCTTGCTGGCCAGGTGCTGATTCACCTTTAGCCACCCAGGAACAGCTGTCCGCTATGCTGAAAGTCTAAATTTAACTTTGTCTCTGGACATGCTGATGACTCATGAGCGAGCACTATATAAAATCAGTATTGTTTTTTTTATCATTGGTGGGGGGTGGGGGGGGCTCAGAGGCTTTGAAATAAAATGTATATCACACTATTAACTAATTTTAAATTATTTGTGACGTATCTATAAATCGATCACCCTGTGTATTAAAATAAAAACGGTCATCAGCCCATAAAATGTTTTATCGATGGTGAAAAAAATTCACGGCATTGGCATGCAAAATCAAAATGGTACTCAAAGCATATCGAATTTCTCAACGGATTTTTCCAGGATATATAAAGATTCTGATGTGATATGATTCCAGCACTGAGCACACAATACAACGACACCAGTGCCAGGCTCGCTTGGACAACAGTTTCGTGTGGCCTGATAGAGAAGTGTAATTGTGGAATTCGTCGCCCCCCCCTCCTATTAAGTTTCCAATCAGAATCTTTCTTTATCCTGGAGGAATCCTGGAGGATGAGCTATGAAGCTCTTTGTATCAGATGGCAGGTAGAAGCGGGTCGGCAATTTACAACAATAAACAATACAAAACACTATAGGAGTGAAAAGTATAGAAACGGTATGCAAGTAACTTAAAATAAATAAATAAACAAGGCAGTAAAACTACACAAAAAGTCCCAGACCACACCACAACAACACAGTCTCTCAATAAAATTGTATATTCAAATGTAACTATCGATACACGGGTAAGGATCAAAGTTACCAATCACATTGGCAAATATGGTTGTATCCAGCACTAATCTGCTTCAGGATATTTTTGAAGGAATATTTACGATGTTAAGGGAGGAAACAAGGTTGTTCCAAAACGTTGGTGCTGAATGACTCGTACACACTCACATTTTAAATATTTAATTCAGAAATGTTTCCAAATTAAATGTTAACATAATGAATGCAGTGTGCAGGAGTGGTGGGGCAGTGGTTAGCACATGTTCATTTCCCGGGCAAGGCTAACATCAGTGACAAGTCCTGTTGGGGAGGGTGGCCTTTACGGACCTGTACTGAATTGTATGGTGAAGTATGGTCAAACGATCATAGCAGTGGATTGACACAGGCCCCCAAGTTATTATTTAGATTACTGAGTACTGAGTGAGAAATAAATTAAATGACAGGCCCCAAAACCTCCAGAATTCAGCAACTATGCAAGGTTATATAATAAGAGCTTGGGGTAGGAAACAATGAGAAGGGATTCATTTCAACTCATTTTCAGACTCGTTCGGCTGTCAGTGTTCCCATATACAAACATCATATTGCCTGTGTGTGTGTGTATATACACGTACGGGTCGACAGTCTCAAATGAGTACCTCGTGCGGTGTGTAAACATTGCCACTGTGGAGACAAAGGCGGCCGGCATGGTGCTGGCCACCCACCACCTCGTGTGCTGTTACGGCCTTCATAGGTGCTCGCTAACATCACTTGCCCCAACAGCCCGTTAAGGCTATATGGGGGTTCTTTGTCTTTGTATACACACATACGCATGCACACCCCTAACGTGTTGCACAGAATACATGGAAAATACAATGTTTTGCCATAAATTCAAGAAATGTAACTGCTTTTTTTTGGATGCGTTTCGCAATATTGCGTTTTCTCCGCACCTTGAGTGTGCGAGTGGTGGTTTGTGGTAAATGTCGGCATGTTTTTCAAACTGCTGTTGAATAAACAGATCATTTTTAGTAGAAGCATCATCGGTATTATTGTGAAGTCGGTTGGCTTTCGTGCTTGCATAGCCAGGGCAGTAGTGCCGTGGTAACACTCAGGCCTCCCAGCAAGGACCTGGGTTCGATTTCCGACTCGGGTGCCTTTCTGTGTGGAGTTTGTATGATCCCCCCCCCCCCCCTCTGTTCTGCATGGATTTCCTCTGGGTTCTCTGGTTGCTTCCCATAGCTCAAAACACATTTAATTTCATTGGCCAAATATTTCATTGCAGTATGTGTGGATTTCCTGAGGAAATTAGTAATTTTTGTGATTATTGTTATTATAGTACAGTAACACCCCGCTTTACGCCCTCCGGCTTTACGTACTTTATCTATAACGTACTGAACTTATTGATACCCAATGCCATGATGTACTCGAGATTTATTAACTAAATTTTTTACGGTCGATGGCAAATAATCAGGTGCCAGATATCGTGCACGTCCGAGCGTTAGCGTCCCTAACTTGTTATCGTCTCTTTCATGTGTATTCTATTCCTATTTTTTCCCCCACATATCGTATTTATGGCAAATATTTTTGATACAACTGTAAACTATTTTTATATGATGAACAATAATGCATATAGTACAATAGACAATGTAATATATCTTAATATATCAATAATATTCACTTTTCACACTGATGGTTGTACGGTATAGATGCACAATGGATTACTTAGCTTCCTCTGTGTAGGTACTGTACCACATTGCGATCCACCATCCCATACGATTTACGTTCTGGTTTTCAGGAACGTTTCCTTGCGTGTATTCCTGTACTTGGTTGTATGCAAGGTGTTGGTGGGAGCATTATCGTCATGAAATCATGAGAAAACTTTGTCCTTGGTGACAGAGAGGGCATTGTGGCCTGGCATTCAAATGACCGTAAACACATGAGCAATTGTTTCCTACGTGCTTATGGACGTGCTTGAGATTGTCGCCGTGCCAAAGCAGGACACACGAACGCTGGCACCATTGCCATAATACTCAACAATAGCAGCGGAGTTATTTGTTCCTCTGTCATATTTTCCAAAGTCACCGCACACAGGCGGTTGTATTGCCACTCGCACCGCCAACTGTAATGCCGCACGCATGTACCAACTGACTAGCCCAACCTAACTGCCAAGGAGACACTGAATGTCGAAACCGGTCCAGAGTTTTGCTTATTTTGAACCAGCGCTGCTGCTAAGGTGCACTACCAGAAGGCCGTGTGGATGATGGAATGTGTACAATATTTTTTCAATCTATGAGGTTGGGGGGGGGGGGTAGGCGATTTGTCTGCTTATCTATTTTCTTAGCCATGACATGGGCATCTATCTGTCGTTTTAACTCACAAAATGATCCATTTATAGATAAACCACTAATATATAATACCCACTGATATATAATAGGATGTAATTCCAGAGAAAGAAGTTTGTATTTCAAAGCATGAATACGTCTCCTACCAATCTCACACATTAAATGTGTTATCTCATCTGCAAGATACGGAGCCATCATGGGACCTCCTTTGCCAGTACCAAGATATGATAATAAGTTTTTCCCCTTTTTTCTCTGATAACATATGCATTGTCCTTGAAACTGATTGTAAAGCTGTTTCTGGTGTGGACCAATCAGTTTCAAGGACAATGCATATATTATCAGTGTGTTTTTTGTTTGCATTCTGACCACAAGCATTGTGGTTAATGCAGACATGATTCCTTGTAGAAAAATTCAGTTTGGTGTTTTAACATCTTAACACCTGTTTTGTTGCCAGAAAAAGGGGAAAAACCTATTATCATTCAATCTCATGTTGAGAAGAAAGGGCCGTTAGCAATAAGTGGGGTGTCGATAAATGGATCACCTCCATTCTGGATATCCATTGAATGGCAACCAAAAGAGGTTCTGTTTGTGAGTAATTTGGCCATTCAATTGCTCTGGCTGAAAGTTGGTGAAATGCAGACACTCACCCAACTCAGTCCTTCACTAAGTCTCTCAACAACCCACTGCCTTCAGATTTAAATTTGGCGCAGTGCGATGTTACATAGTCCATGGTTTGGTGTCGGTAGCTGCCGTCGCACGCAGGAAGAGAGTAACATTTGTTTTCCCCCACTTGTGCAAAACCAGTTGAGAACTTCACGGAGTGACACGCGGTCCAGCCCGACCTTATGTGGTACACGCGGATCCGGTCAAGTGCCGTGTTCCAAGCGAGCTCCGACTCGACGCATTTGTCAACAACACCGTGGCTATAAAAGCAAATCAAATGATATAGATGTCAACTTCCTCGCCTGGTATGTAGGAAGTCGTGGGTTCGAGCCTGACCCTGATGCCTGTTATGTTTGGAGTTTGCATGTTCTCCCTGTGGTCGAGTGGATTGTTCTCCAGGTGGTGACACTCTGGTTCTCTCCTCCACATTTAGAAACATGCATTTAGAGTATTTGGCTGCTATAAATTTCCACATAAGCCACTTCGTTGAGCAATCATTTGTGACCAGGTCGCTTCTGAAAAAGAGCTATTTAGCTCAATTGGCTTTACTTGGTAAAATAAAAAATTGTTTAGTTTTTTTTAGTTTTCATAGCACATGACGAATATATGTTGTTGTTTTTTTTCTCACTTGTGTTTATGCGCCACTGCTAACACGGAATCGCCAACAATGTTATTACATAAACTGTGGCCGAATTGACCAAATAGAATATAAAAATGCACTTTTAAAAGCTCTGTTGAGCCTGTTTGTCAGTAAAGTGTGTCCAGTTGGAGCGTCCAAACCATTAATGCAAAACCAGTTGAGAACTTCACGGAGTGACACACGGTCCAACCCGGCCGGGTCGCATGATGGCAACTCAATGAGCACCCTGTGTGGCTGTGGTGCCGCCTGTGTTGTGCCTATGAGACTCGGCATTGAAAAGGGAAAGAAATATCCGATTGTCCGTGGACATTTAAACGTATAACCACTTTCGTGTTCTTAGCAAAGGTCTCAGTTTTGGTGACATCACTTACAAAATTCTAAACTTGCGAGGAACGTCTGATTACGGGATTTTATAATCGTTACCATGTGTGCCTTGCTGTGTGCGGACCTACGTCAGTTATTTTTGCGTGTTTTGATAAGTTCTTGATTCTCTGCTGTGTAGTATCCATTATAAAGTCAAAGTAATTTCTTGCTTTAATGAGCCTCGAGGCATTGGTGCTCATCTCCAGTTTACAGTCCTGCAGAATCAGTGGTGGAAATTCCACATTCCCATGGTGGGGGCGAGTATCAATAGGACTACCACTGTTGACTTCCACAAAGTGGTACCCATTTAATTAACTCTGGAGGAAAGGATGATGGACTGAGTCAACCCCCCCCCCCAACCAGGATATGAACTCGCAAGCGTCCGATTGTGAGTGGCTCGCTCTAGCACTGAGCCACCCAAGGGATCACGGCAAACGTGTCCCCCAGCGTTGTTTCAGTAGCATTGGATGAGGGGTTGTGACCAATGTCACCCTTATTTTTTCATCACCACAGCTGTAAGTGCTAATTTGGAGGTAAAAAATGTAACCACTTAAATCCACGAACGTAATCTATTTTTGAGTTTCATAGGACAGTAGAAAATGTAATTTTATGTTTGGTCCTTGAAAATTAATGTTTCAAGTTTACATTTGAGTGCTTTTGTTTGACTGGTGCAAATTTCTCAATATTGTTAACAAAGTAAATTAGCAAAAAACACGTGACTCTCATATCTGTCCCTCCACATAAAAAATAAAAGTTTCCACACATCCCATCAGCCACACGGTCTTCTGGGAGCACACAATCTCGGCAGCGATGGTTCAAAACAAACAAAGCTCTTGACCGGTTTTGACATTCAGTGTCTCAGGAGTGTCAGGATCGCTTGGAACAGATGCTGGTGAATTGCCACATTAATAGGCAAAGACAAATATGGCAAAGCTCCCTCCTATAACCTTGACAGGCTGGTGGGGCAAATGCTGTTTGTGAGCACCTATGAAGGCCAGCACACCGCACGAAGGGGTGGGTGTCCAGAACCACGCCTGGCCGCCTTGGTCTCCCTAATAAAGATCTTTACACACTGCACATGTACTCATTTTTAAGGCTGAGTGACCTAGGGAGGCCCAGGACCGGTTCAGATAATTATCACTGGTATTCGCCGTGAGCGGGAATTGTACTCGGATCGCCCGGGTTCATGGCGCAGCGCGTAACTACTGCACCACCACTCCCCAAGGACTCTCTCCGTTAGACATGCATCCCAGCTCGACACAAGACCACACACTCAACACAATAACCGTAACTGTCTTTGCGGAGAAGACTAGAAATACAGTTTGTACAGGCATACCCCGGTTTACGCCTAGGATGCGTTCCTAAAAACCAGAAGGTAAATTCAAAGCATTTTAGGTGTATTGTAACGTGGTAGAGTACCTAAACAGAGGATTCTGAGTAACCCATTGCACATCTATACTAGACAACCATAGGTGTGAAAAGTAAGTATATATTAATATTTTACTACTATAATAGCCTAGAAATGTGTGTCCCGCACGTGACGTCATTTCACATGCCGCACCCCCCCCCCTAATTAATAATTAATAATCATGAGCAGGTGGATTTTTACACTCGCGCAGAAGAAGGTTGATCGGAAAGATATTTTTTTTCGCAAAGTCGCTTCAAATATGACGTTTCTTTACAAAAAGTGACGGTCAAAAATTAAGCTACGCAGCACAGTGCTACATTCGTGCGGGACGTCACTGCAAAAGAGGCCCCCCCCCTTCATTAATGTTCATGCCGCGTGGAAATTTACACTAACGCACAAGGTCGCCCACTCCACATGCCGCTCCCCTCCCCAATAACCATTAGCGGGTGACGTCACTCCACATGGGGCAACCCCCCCTCATTAATAATCATGAGTGACGTCACTCCACATGGTTCATTCCCCCTCATTAATAATCATGAAGAGGTGACGTCTTCCAAATGGACACCCCCCCCCCATGCACAATAATTAGCGGGTGACGTCACTCCACATGGGGGGCCGAGGCACCTCCCCCCTCCTCGGCGTCAACTTACAACCCTCACTCCAAAGGCAGAACCCTCACGTCACGCGGTTTCCGTAACGCTGTTGAGACATAGAAGTAAAAAGGACGTCATGATGAACAAGGGATGATAACCTTTACATGAAATAAGTCTGTGTCACCGCGGCCTTACAAATTGCACACGAATTGATGCAACGAATATCACGTCGCGGTCTGCTTTTCGCTTGCAAGTTTCAGATTTGCTGCAATATACACCCGTCCTTGGAAAAAATCTAGTTTGGCTATTATATTACCTTATCTATTATACTATGTATTAGTTCTTTATCACAAACAATAGTTACCATAAATACAGTATGTGGGGGAAAAAAATGTTAATAGGATACACAGTCAGGGACGCTAACGCATGTACTGTATGTTGAACTTTTCTCGCACCGTACGTAGTCAACTTCTAATTAGAGGTCCTTGGGTGCCATCTGGTGCCTGCATGTGGAACATTAAAGATTAGAGGCTGAATGATAAAGTTCGTAAATCTCGAGTACGTTATGGCGAGATACACAGTACGTAAAACGGGATTGGATATAAATAAGTTGAGTAGGTTATAGCGAAAGTACGTAAAGTGGGAGAGCGTAAATCGGGTTGCTACTGTAATTGCTTGCCAGTCGGTGTTGTGCCGTGAGGTTCTCGTTCGCCGTTTTCAGTGCATTTGGCATTTGCTTGTTTCCCGTTGGCAGTACGTGCTGAAAGAGAACAAGTGCGAGGATGAGCTGAAGATGCTGCGCTCAAAGTTGCGAGAGGTGGGTCTGACGTCGCGTGGTTGCCAGGGTTCCTCGGGACCAATAAAATTCACTGTCGGGCGGGGAAACTGCACTGCCAGCAACTCCCCCTATACTATCACCACACAGGGCAAGGTGACGTGGCCAGGCTGTAGGGCGTTTGTCGTAGAGGTTCAAATCTCGCGGGCTCCCTGGTTATTACCACCGGTGTATTGACAATTAAAATACGACACGTCCGCTTCATAGTAGATGTTAAAGATCCCGTGACGTCGTCCGCAAGTGAAAAGTAATACTGATAATGAATGCTCCGGCACTGTACGCAGTTGTTGAGTGGGAGGGCAGACTGGCAAGACAGCTGGTTTGGAGCCCGGCAAGGGAATCCGAAACCCGTGATTTCACAAACGCTCGTGCGGCATGCGTGACCCGTCTTAGTGTCACTCTTAACATTTAAGAGTGCCCACTGTAGCTGCTCGTTCTCCGAGCAGAATGCCACGTTGGCCCCCCCCTAATTCTACCATCCACAGGGCCATTGTGGGGCACTCTTTTGTGTGGTGAGGCTCAGGACAAATGACCGTTTATTGTAAAGTAGTCGCCGTTGTGAAGGCCTGTGGACCGCGTGACTTTTGCAAATGTGGGGTGGGGAGGGGTGGTGTAGCGGTTAGCGCTCTGCGCTACGCTATGAACCTGATGACCCAAACTCTTTGGTTCTTTCGGTAAAGTCACGTAGGTATAAAATTTAATAAATCACGACGTTTCGGGCGCAACACAAGCGTTCGTCATCAGCTGGGAAAGCATGGTCTGCTGCTGAGGCAGACCGTTTTTAAAGGTTTGAAATGGGTGTAGCCCAAGGGTCATAAAGAAGTGGCCGGGGCTAGTGATGTACGATAGGAAAGCGGCCTCCTCGACTAGGGCACGGAAGTGGCTATGTTTTCTACAGTTACAAGCTAATTTCTCACATTAACATCATGCTAATCTCTCACATTAAAATAGCCACTTCCGTGCCCTCTAATCTCTCACATTAACACCTGACAGAATTGTAAAATACTGGCGCCCCTCACGAAATGCACCCCCCCCCCCGACCCCATAGCAAGAATTTGCAGTTACACGATTCATGTTTTAGGGACATACTTGATGCTTACACTTCATTTGACAGTTACACGCTCAAGAAAAAACTAAAATCGTAATATAAAAATTTTCTAAATTAAATCATTTGCAATCATAGCAGCGCCCAGTGTCACAGGCTGGGTGCAGCCATCGTAGATCTGCAATTGTTTGCACTGCGCACGCTGCTGCAAGCAGCCCATAGAAGCGTTCAAGAAGCCCTGAAGTTATTCCTTATTAAGTAATCTTTGTGAGTAGTAATTTTTTTTATCTTAATTATTATTTGTTTTTAAACTCCTTAAGTAATCTTGTAATGTTTCGAATATTTGTTTTATGAAGTATTACATTTACATGTATTTTATCAATCTAGGGCTAAAATAACGAAATAATATTATCCTTAATTTTGCATCTTATAACATGTATGTCTATGGGAAAAAATAGGCTTCATATAGTACGATTCGACTTGTGCACCATTTTTTCAGGAACGCGTGTTGCGCGTTATCTGAGGAACGCCGTACTGTAAAGTAGCAGAATTATTGATTACTTGATGTACATTTTCCAATGATAGGTGATGTCAACATTGACACAGGAGCATTCCTTCTTCGAGTCATTTTGGCTTTGCCACGAGCACGTTGGTTGTCAAGTGGCTCCTGCACTTTGTAAATTAACCAACATCTTTTCTAAAATCTCCACTGAGCTTGCCATTAGTGGACGTGCATCCGATGGGCGCGGAAAAACTTAATTTTGCGCAAAAAAAATTTACGTTCTGACAATTGATGAAACAATTAATAGGCGTTAACCTTTCCGGCAAGAATACAGAAGGTATTAAAATGCTCAAACACCAAATAGACGCCTATCACAAGGCATCGAGTAAGCATTAACCACACATGTTTCTGGCAAAACATGCAACAGACACGCCAAAAGTCGAACAGAGCAAATATAATCCTTTGATATTTGCATTGTGTTTGTGCTGTTCAACTTTTGGCGTTCTTTGGTCGAACAGTTTTGAGACAGACCATAAAGGAAGGCTGTCTCTGGTGTAGGCCAATCAATTTAAATTTCAAGGACAATACATACATTATCAAAGCATGTTTGTTCTCTCTCCCGTTCCACCCTGCGTCTCTTTCTTCCATTCCACTCTGCCTCTTCCTTTCCATGATCTCTCTCCCGTGACCGCAGTACGAAAACCGTGCTGACGTCGGGCAGAAGAACGTCACCAAACTGGAGCAGCAGGTGGACTACATGGAAGGTGGGTGGGAGGTTGGATGGGTGGGGGTGTCAGTGGATGGCAGGCAGGGGTTGGTAAGTAGGGGTGGGATGCCCGGTGGGCAAGGTGATCTAACTCTGGTACAGGCACCGCTGCTCCGTCGTGCAGTCTGCTGCCCCATGCATCCTTCCCTCCCTCATTGCCCTTACATTAATTTTACTCACTTCAAAAAGTATGAACACTTACCTATTGTATGTATGTTGAACTTCTTTCACACTGTATGTAGCCAACAAATCTATTATGCTCATGCATAATATATTTTTGGGTCAGGCCACTTGATGATCTCGTCAGATTTATGTCTAATTGGAAGATCTAGTTTTTGAGGATTGTTGTTCAACTTATCCGCGTGTGAGCTGAAACAATAATAATTGGGGTCTTAAGACATAAATCTGGTTCAGATCACGTCATCACCAGAAAATATATTATGAATCATATTGGTTGCGATAACCTACGTATTTGAATAGTGCTGGTTGTTTCTGGCCACTTTGCATTTTGGGCCTTTGGGCCTGTGCTCAGAAACTGTCCAAAAAAATCGTAAGGAATCAGACCTATGTGAATTTGTGTACATACATCACCTTCATCAGGTCGCAATTGGCATAGGTGTAATGATGATCGAAAAAAGAAATTGCAAAAAAGCAACTCCCTGTGTACGACGGCAGCTACGGACACCAAACCATGGGCATTATAACATTGCATTGTGCCAAATAATCATTTCAAGGTGGTGGGGTGGGTGTGTGAGTAACCACATGAGTATGTGAGTGAGGAGCGGTCGTGTAGCAGTTAGCACGCTGCGCTACAAACCAGACACCCCGCGTTCGATTCCCGCTCATGGTCAACAGCAGTGACAATTATCTGAACTGGTCCTGGGCTTGCCCTAGGTTGACTCTGCTCCAAATGACTACCTGGTACGGTGTGTAAACATCGCCACTAGGGAGACAAAGGTGGCCGCGCATGGTGCTGGCCATTCACCCCCTTGTGTGCCGTGCTGGCCTTCATAGGTTCTCGCTAACAGCACTTGCCTCAACAGTGTTACAGGCTATACGGAGGATATTTGTCCTGTATGAGTGAGTTGAAGGCTGTCACCCTCTTACAACAGCAGAGATGCTCACAGTGAACGGAGGGCCGGGCGAGTTGGCGTAGTGGGGAGCACAGTTGTTGCATCTCCCAGTCATCTCAGTCAGTTAACCCATGGCACCTGGGTCTGTCCTGTGACCGGCCAGTGAACCTTCGACATTTCATGGCCTGGCACAATCGCCGTGGTGACGTCACCGCCACTTAGTGACGAACGGTGGTTGTTGTTGAGTGTATCTCTTAAAACAGCAATTCACCAACTCTCAGCCGAAGCCAATTGATTGGCTAAACCACTAAGAACTTAATCTCTTATCGTCACTCATTGGCCAAACAATCTTCCAAATTTCTTGCGTGTTTTGTTTTCACCAGGTGAGAACTTGCAAGCCGACGAGTGCGTTGTTGTGCTCACCCACTCCTGCAACTCTTTGTGTTTCAGAGCAACTGATCAAAGCCAAGGAGGAAAACATGGAAATAAACAGAGTCCTCGATCAAACACTCAACGAGCTCAACAGCATCTGAGCTGCATGCGTGCTGTGTGCTTGGTGCGTGCTGCGTGCTTGCTGCGTGCTTGCTGCGTGTTTGTGTGCGTGCTGCATTACGCGAGCCCCTGCACGCACTTCAAACACAGCCGCCTCTTCATGCGGCCAGAGGAGGCTTCGGAATTTAAACGCTCTAATTGCGTTAATGTCAAATATGCTTGAAAAATAAATGTGTGCACCCACGTGCTGCTGCTCCATGCTGCAGGGTGGCAGCACAGTGGTAACACTCGTGCCTGACAGCAAGAAGGACCTGACGTTGATTATCGACTCGGGCGCATGGAGTTTGTATTTTCTCCCTCTGTTCTGCATATGGGTTTCATCCAGGTTCTCTGGTGTCTACCCATAGCTAAAAAACCACGCAATCTAACTGACATTGGCCAAACAGCCCATTGCTGAAAAATTATCTACAAATAATTCGATTGGGATTGCACACAGAGCAACATTACCCCTGCTGTTAAAAACGTGGTAGAACCCTGAGACTCGGCAAAGCCTTTCCTGGCTAAACAATGGCCATAATAACTCATAATATGACGTAGGTTTTTTCGCGGTTGTGCTGTCCAGCTCTCTGCATGAGGGTTGAATTAGTCAGTTTTCCCAAGCGCGATGTGTAGAATTGCAGCGCGTTTTCTTGAGCCCCCCCCCCCCCAGCCTGATGGCATTGTGGAAAATTACCCATGATGCCCTCTGGCCTCGGTGCGTGTTGCTCGACACGATCACCTTGCATCGTACAGTAAAGCAACATGATTGTACGTCAATAAACGCGTTATTTAGGTGTCACTTGACGTACGATCATTTTGATTCGATCACTCCCCTGAAGTCTGATGCAGTCGTTTTTTAAACAATTCCGAAGCCTCCTCTCATCGTTTCGTGAACGGGGAAATCATCGTCAGTAAAGTGGCAGGGACCAATGCTCTAAAGTCATATTTCCCTTCGTCTATGCATCGGATGTTTGTAATTTTTTTTGAGTTTACGTTTAAAAATACATGCCTGAAATATAGTGCCATTACAAGAGATCTTGGTAGGATTTCGTAAATGTCTTCTTTCCCTGGACCTTGTTTTAATAACCACAGCACCCTGCCGTGCTATGTGTTTTTTCATAGCGTGCACAGTGTCACGTTTTGTTGGCTCGTAGATTCCTTGACATATTTAGAAATGTCTCAATACTATATTTGCGCAGAGGTGTATCGTGCATTGCATCCCTAACCGCTGTGTACTGTGTTTAATTGCCATCTGATATTGATTAAAGATTGTATGCCAAAATAATGTTTTTAATGCCAGCGAAACGAGAGTTTCGTTTCCCAAACAAGGCTCAATCCCTGCATTGTGCAACATTTCCACAGTTTCACTCTCGACAGTTTGCATTTGTTAAGGCTGCAGTTTAGTGCAAAACAACCAAAGTAAATTATACTGCAAGGTGCTCTATTGGTGTCTGCATGATGCTGCACCCCGTTACACAAACACGACACGTGCTGCATCGCGGTGCATCGGTCTTGAGTTGTGCATTTTTCCCAATTCCATTTGATTCAGTGTTTGGCACATTTAATCGTCTGAGCCAGAGCAGAGATTGGTATCACCTACGCTAGCAACACCTCAGCAATGTGTTTATACGGCCCATAAGAGTGAATCACTTGGGAGCCACTCATTTTAATCTGTTTCTACCAGATATTTTTTAAACTCCGAAATTATGCCCGTTTTTTTATGACATACTTTCCAAATGCACTGCGTTGCGTGCTAAAATAAATGCGTGACCTAAGCAGCTATTGCAACATCAATCCCCTGTGAGCGATTCGCGCAGTGTACACGCCCGCTGAGACGCATCGGCTGCTGTGGGTAACTTCAGTCGGGCAGCGGTGATTTTCGCTGAAATGATTTCCCAACAGAAAAGCTGAAAAATTGACAGCTCTGGTTCTTGTGGTGTCTCCGTTTAATTCTGTGCTGTAAGGTGTTCTTTTCTGTCGTGCGATCGCTTGCAACGTGCAAATTGGAAAGTGGCGGATTTAAATCTGGTAACTTGACGTTCTGCCAATAACCTCTAAAATCACCCTCGTTTGTTTCTGAAATGCCATATACTGTAATTTTACCATGTTCAGACCGGATCTGCCTGATGTAAAATTTCTGCATCGCATCAAAAACCTGTAAGAAGTTTGAATTGTATATAAGGTACTGTGTATGGAACAATGATGAAATCCCTAAAGTTTGCAAGCAGAGGTTTTGTTAAAGACGATGCTTATTGGAACGGGTAATGGAAAGGAATCAAATTATATTTAAGTGCCTTATGCGTTTATTTTCAAATTTATCTTTGTCTTGAGAATCAAAAACTCGTCTTTGTATTAGGTGCTAAACAATTAAATCTGTCTACATCACTTCTCTTCATAAAATGTTAGTGTCCATATTCTTGGATTTGATACCCACCCTGCCATTGTTGAGTTTTACTACTTTGTGGCGAACTGACCGAGTTGCCTCGGCGAGCGTTGCGTGCATTTTGAAGCCGCTGATTGTGTGTCATTAATGGCTGGATTCTTATACACGGCTGTGGCTCAGCCCTCGCTCAGGTTGGGCTTGGGCTCGAGCCCCTCTTGCTGACAAACACGCATGAGTGGACCAGCCGTGGCCTGGCTCAGGCTCAGCTCATGGGAATCCTGGGCATGGCTGGGACCTTGCACAGAGGTCACGTTAAGCACAGCTTCGAGCCATGACTCACTTGAGCCAAGTCTGTCGAGTCCGAGAGAAAGGCCAAGCACACGTGTTGCAGTTGAATCTGCCAACAGCCGACACGCATTGGAGCCACCTTGTTCGTCATCGGCAATAAGTGTATTTATAACGCGAACAAAGCAGAGGGGGTGACGACATTTAAATAGCTGCCAGCGTTATTCGTGGCTTTCTATGCAAGTGTCTGCCATTTTAGGCACCCAAATCAAAACAGAGCTCCACCAGAGTTCCCAGTTGCAGGTGAAATGAGATCGCAATTACCCCAATGTCGCCAGATAACTCTTTGCACGTCGAATAATCGCCACCATTCTGAGTGCAGCATTGGGTTCGGAGCATAGGGATATCGGCGGCACAAGCCCCGAGGTGTAATGCACATTCAAATAAAGCAGTTGTACTGTGACGGTCAATATATACACAACGGATGCCATATGAAGTCCGTTAAGGCCAAACATGTTTTGAATTTGTACGGTTGCTCAAAGTACAGTAAACAAAATTGGCATTGTCAATATAACCGTCAACAAATAAAGCATATCATGATTCGTCTCTTAATCAACTCTCGTGAACGTTCATTGAACCGTGCCTGTAGGAATCGATCACAATTCCACTTCAATGCAAGTAAGCTAATAGAATGCAAGCCAACGCAAAATAATACAAATCATTCTCGAGTAATTTGTAATCGCAAGGGAGTGATCTATCATTACACGCAGCGATGAGTATCATCAGCCATAAACATTTCACTGCTGGGTGAAGGCCCCCCGCAAGCCGCTGCCACTTCTCGCGATCCAGCGATGTATCGATCCATCCAGCACCTGCACACGAGCTGATTTCATCACTCCAGTCACGAGCGAAGTACTTTAAATCACTTGTACTGGTCGTGCTGAATGTTTCACAAATCAACCAATGACTGCCACTGAAATTTCTCAATTGGGATAACAATTGAGCAATTTGACAGACATACATGCAGGCCAGGTGCCAAGTCACCTGCCGCACAGGGACAACAGCCACTGGGGGTGCCCATCAAATGTTTTTTGATGAAATGTCAGGTGCTTTGAGTTACCGAGGCAATATAAATGCAAAATAGTTATTCTCAGTGCTGGCAAAACAATCATTTAAAACAACATCAACTTCATTTAGTTTAAAGTTGAGTGCGCTTGGCGTCCCAGAGCGTTGGGAATTATTGTGTTGTGTTTGTCTCTGCGGGGTGTTTTTTTTTCTCAGGCGTTGGGTGTTTTGTTTCATGGTAACAACACAAACGAACCAGCTGACCTGTCTGTGAACGCGCTTCCACGTTGCGCGCCCGAAATCAGCGTTCGGATGAGGTTCTCGCCTGAATGTAAAACTGCTGCTTGAAACGTGACATTGCCAGGAATGATTCGAGAACGATCGACCGTTTGAGATGGACGTAGATCATGCAGCTGAATGCTTGCATCGTTATTTGCTTGCAACTGGATTGATCGCTACCTCCTGATTACTCACGAATCCAGAGACATCTCCTGAAGCCAGCGACCATCGGCCCTTGTCTTGTGCTCGGCTTTTTATCGTGTCCCGTGTATTGGGGGAGGGGGGTGCCATATGTAATGTTTCGTATTCTAAATAAAAAAAGATAAAACATAGTCGTGTTAAATGCATGCATTACAAGTTGGCGTGTGCCACTTTACGCCTTCGTACATGGTGGATACCGAGCCCTTGGTTGCATGCAACTGGCCGCTTATACGTGCACGTCTTACAGCAGGGATGGACTCCACTTTCAAGCATCGATCTGGCCAGGTACTGCACGTTTTGTGAACGATTAAACATTATTTGATACTGCTGCGTTGGCAGTGGGGCACAAATAACAAAATTCGAAGCTTGTCGATAACGCTACCTTTGAGGAACATATAAAAGGTGACATTTCAGGCAAGAGCGCATGGATGTGCGATAAAGGGCCATGCTCAAAATGTTGCCCATTATATATTAGTGAACTGATTGTTGTCATGTTGTGGGTGGGGGGAGGAGTATTTAGCCACAGAAGAGACCTGTGTTGTAAAAGGTGAGGCCAGACACGTTTTAACCACGCTTGTTGCATAACTAGTTGGTCAGCTGTGGATAAAGGAGTTGCAGGTGATTCGGTTGCACGGCACATGTGTAGAGGTGTAATTGCGCATGGCTACGAATGTTGAGGTGTGATTATGCATGGCCACGGATGGCCAACAAACACAATGGGCGGGGTTACGGCCGTACACAAGGGTGGCGCTCGCACCGACGTCCGAATGTGCGTCCCCCACGGGCCCCCCCTCGGGGGGAGTCCTATAAAAGGTGATGAGCTCGAGGGCTCGAGGTGGGGACTCAGCTTTAACCAGAGAAGACGGAAGACCTGCTAGTGTAGGCCCCAGAGCTCCCCTGGCTCGCTGTCCTTATAAGGGCCGACCAGGGCAAGCCGGTGGCGTGGCCCCGAGAGCCCAGACGAAGCTGGTCTGGTGACTCAGGGAGCCGGGATCCCAGCTTAACCAAGCTGGGACAGATAGCCTCCCCTAGTTCCGTAGTGGAGGAATTGGTATAGGTTAGAGGGGTTAGCTGTCGAGAAATCCCTGTAGCCCAGTGACCTGTAATAACTGTGTTGGTGTAATAAATAAGTGTGCCTCCGATCCTGTCGTCAAGCCTCCATATACTTACTACATCTGGTGTCAGAAGTAAAACGTCCAAACGATGGACACACGAGGGACGACACGTACCAAGGAGTCGGAGATGGAAGACGCCGCGGCCGATTCAACACCAGAGATGGCCGGGGTCGGTTCGGAGCAGCCGAGGCCAAGTACGCCCGCGCCGCTACGACAAGAGGGGGGGGGATGCGTCGGCTGAAGGACTCCGGCTGGCCCACTCCCGCCTGGCGGAACTGCTCTACGCCGCGGCCGCTGCGTTGGAGGAGATCACGCGGCTGGGGGCTGGAGGGGCAGCGCGGGTCGACGACAGCAGCCGGCGCGCGGCGACGTTTCCCGCCACCCCGACGCGGCTGGCGGTTAAATTTCCCGCCATCTCTACAGTGCGAGCAGACGGCGGGGCCGGCCCGCGTCACGTGACTGCTGAGCGCCAAGCACAAGCCGTGACATCATCAACACCGGCTGGCGCGTCAACATCGGTGCGACCGGCGATGCCATGTGCACAGCCCGCCCACACTGTATCATCGGCGGGGAGCGACGGAGAGCGATCTACAGCCACGGACGTCGCCTTGCAGCAGCGTCTGCCGCCTCTGAAAGAATTCGTAGGCGCAGACGGAGACTGGGGCGGCTTCAAGAGGCGGTTCATCGCTCATCAGGAGATGGCGAACTGGACGGACGCCGAGGCTCTACGCGCGCTGCCGGCGATGCTGGACAACGACGCTCTGGCTACCCTCACCTCGGCGCCTAGGGAAAAGCGCGCCACTCTACACCTGGCGTTGCAGCTGCTGTCGGCCGTCTATGGGCCGCCTTCGGACTGCAGGCAGCTGTTCCACGATCGGCATCGGGGCGCTAACGAATCGCCCCTGGCCTTCCGGACGGCTCTCCTAGCCCTGGCAAAGGCTGCTTTTCCAAGGATGGACGAGGAAGGAGTGGATGCCATGGTAGCTGAGAAGCTGCTGCTACTCGCTGATGAGCTAGACGTCAACGTCCTGGCTCAAGACGACGCGGAGATGTCGTCCCTGCTGATCGCGCGCCACATACACGGGGGCTTGCGGTCCCTGCGTCGGAAGGCGGCAAAGGGAGCGGCCGGCCATGCCATGGCGGCCACCGCCCTCCCGTCGGAGGAGGTCTGCGGGGTGGAGCGGCGAGGGGAATGGAGATCGGCGGCGCCACAGGCTCGGAATGGACCGAGTCGCCAGGAGCAGCCCAGGACATCGGGGGCGCTCACACGCTGCTACAACTGTGGCCTGCAAGGCCACGTTGCGTCAGGATGCCGGGCTCCCCGTCAGCGCGGGGCGACACCTCGCCAGGACGCCACGCCGTCTCCTCCCAAGCTCCAGCAGAGAAATACGGCGAGTCGCGGCACCTCACACGTTTGGCCCACACACACATCCGACACACACTCACGCGCTCAACTAAACAGGGCTCCAAATTCCCCGTCCGTCGCGCGCGATTGTTCGGTAATGCGGCGAGCGCTCCAACCAGGTCAGTGGTCGGAGCTCGCCCATCGTGTTGTTGCTGCGTCGGCGGGATCATCGGTTGTGGTCGGTCACATTGATGGGGTAGAGGTGCGGATTTTAATTGACACAGGGGCATCGGCGACCATTATATCTGATTTGATTTATAACATCCTTCCCGTTCAAAGTCGTCCCTTGCTCCCTGTTGACGTGCCATGCTATGCTGCTAACGGGGGCTCGCTGGGCATTATTGGGCAAATCCGCGCCACTATCTGCATCGGAGACATTAAATTATCCGGCCCTGTTTTGGTTTCCTCCTCACTCGCGGTTCCGTGCCTGTTGGGGACGGATTTCTTGGCCAAAATGCCCATCCGTATCCTGATTGACCAGGGGTGCATTGAGCTCCCATCGGGCCGACGCGTTACTTTTTTGTCTTCCCCCACCACGGAGCGTCGGGCGTTTGCCACCGTGCAGGCGCTCGTGACAAAAACTGTGCGCGTACCTCCGGGGGCTCAGATGCTCGTCCCTCTTAGGTTGCGTCGGCCGTTTAATGAAGGGGTTGCGGATAGGGGGGTCTTGTTGGGACCATCTCGGGCCGGGGTCAATGGACCCGATTTGCTAGCGGCTCAGACCATGGTGAGAGGGGATGGGGACCCCTTCATTGCAGTCCTTAATGTGGGATCGCGAACGGCCGTGGTTCCTCAAGGGACCGTGCTTGCACACGCAACGCCGGTACCCTATGAGGAACCACTCGTGGGTCAGGTATCCACCGATCCTCCGTCGCGACCGCATTCGGACTGTGATGACGGATGGCTGGATGCGCTTTGCGCGGGTTCAGTGGACCTGTCCGACTCGCAGCGCGCGCAGCTGCGAGTTCTCCTGAGCGAATTTGCTGACGTTTTTAGTCAACACAAATTTGATATTGGTTGTACCAAATTGCTGCGACACCATATTGACACGGGTGACAGCGCGCCAATCCGCCAAAATCCCTTTCGGTTGAGTCCCGCCGAAAAGGATCATGTCAAATCGGCTGTTGATGACATGCTAGCCGCCGATATCATTTCCCCTTCCAACAGTCCGTGGGGCGCACCGATCGTTTTGGTGAAAAAACACGACGGCTCACTGCGGTTTTGTGTCGACTTTCGCCGTCTGAACAAAATCTCTGTGGCAGATGCGTACCCGCTTCCTCGAATGGATGAGTCGCTCGATGCCTTGGCGGGGGCGCGATTCTTTTCCACCCTCGATTTGCTATCTGGATTCTGGCAGCTTCCTCTGGATGACGAATCAAAGCCTAAGACTGCTTTTCGTACGCCGCAAGGTCTCTTCCAATTTAACCGCTTGCCGATGGGTTTACATTCTGCGCCGGCAACTTTTCAGCGGTTAATGGAATTGGTCTTGGCAGGTTTGCAATGGGATTCGTGTTTGATTTACTTAGACGATGTCATCGTCTTTAGCAAATCCTTCGAGGAACACCTCCAGAGGTTGCGTGCTGTTTTTCTCAAAATGCGGGCTGCCAATTTGAAATTTAAACCGCAGAAGTGCCATTTACTCCGCGAATCGGTGCGATATTTGGGTCACATTGTTGGGCGCTCGGGGATATCCACTGATCCCGCCAAAACGGAATGCGTCAGCTCCTGGCCGACTCCCACCTCGGTGGGAGAGGTCAGGAGTTTCATTGGGTTCGCATCGTATTATCGACGATTTGTGGCTGACTTCGCTACGATTGCGAAACCATTACATGCCTTGACGTCCAAGGGAGTCAGGTTTCATTGGGGGCCGGAGGAGGAGGCTGCTTTTCGCGCCCTCCGGAATGCTTTGGTGGGGGCTCCGCCGTTGAATTACCCCGATTTTTCACAACCCTTCTTGCTCGATACTGATGCGAGTAACACGGGCATCGGGGGCGTGCTGTCCCAGCTCATTGGGGGCGTAGAGCATGTGGTGGCTTACGGTAGTCGGGTACTGTCTCCAGCCGAACAGCGGTACTGCGTTACCCGTCGGGAATTATTGGCGATTGTTTATTTTATTCAGCAGTACCGCCCGTATCTGTACGGTCGGCGATTCACCGTCCGTACAGATCATGCGGCACTACAGTACACCCTGCGGGTTCAACAACCATCGGGCCAGTTGTCTCGATGGTTGGAGATCCTCCAAGACTATGACTTTGTCACCACATATCGTAAGGGTGTCCGCCACACGAACGCTGACGCCCTGTCACGATTGCCACCCACTTCGGAGTGCGCGTGCCTCTTGGGTTCGGGGCGTTGTAGGCCCCCGAACGTCACCACCGATTCGGTCCTCGTGGCCGCTACCGATGCGCCTTCAGTTTCGGGTCCTATCGAGCAAGAAGGGAGGGATTCGTTGCTGGGGTTGTCGGTCGCGGAATGGGGACGCCTCCAAATGGAGGACACCTCCCTCCTCGCTCTGCGCCGTCGCGTCGGGGGGGCCGGTCAGGGGGTGGCGAACGTTGACTCGTGGGGGTTGTCCCAGGGTCTTTTAATGCACTGGGATGGGAAAACCCGCCGCCAGCGGCTCGTGGTGCCTGCAGCATTAAGGGGTAAGGTGGTATGGGCTGTTCACGAGCGGCTTCTGCACTTGGGGGTTCACAAGACCTTTGCCACGCTCCAGCTAGATTTCTTCTGGCCGGGCATGGCAAAGGACGTGGGGGATCTCCTGGGGTCGTGCGCGCAATGCGCGCAGAGGAAGCCACCTGCTAGGGGGTCCAACCCTCCGCTGCAGTCCATAAAGGTTTCCCGGGTTAACGAGTTCGTCGCTCTGGACATACTCGGCCCATTTCCCGCTACGCCCAGGGGAAATAGGTATTTATTAACGGGGGTAGAGTACTTCACGAGATGGCCTATGGCCTGGCCCCTGGCCAACCAGTCGGCAGCGGCCATCGCGGAGGCCTTTGTCCAGGGCTATGTCCTCGACAAGGGTGCTCCGGAACGGCTGCTTACTGACCAGGGTAGGAATTTTTCTAGTAAACTCCTACGTGAGGTGTGCGACCTCTTGGGTACGGAGAAGGTTCGGACCTCTCTGTATCACCCACAAACTGACGGGATGGTGGAACGGCTGCATCGGACCATCTCGTCTATGCTGTCCCAGCAGGTGTCTGTATCCCAGACGGATTGGGACCTTCGTATAGCCGGGGTGTTGCAGGCCTACAGAATGGCTCCCCATGCGGCCACCGGGTTTTCCCCTTTCTTTTTAATGTATGGGCGCGAGGCAAACCCCCCTGTGGCGACCCAGCTCAAGCTCTCGGCGCCCCAGGCGAAGTCTAACTTGTCCGAACACGTTAAATTTAACATCAGCAAATTGTCTGAGGCGCGGGAAGCGGCCGCGCAAAATTCTGATCTCCGCCAGAAGGCGAACGAGAGGCTTCGGTTGGGGCGGGTACAGGTGGTAAAATGGAAACCGGGGGACAAGGCGTGGTTGCACTGTCCCCAGGTGCCGCTGGCAACCTCGTCGAAATTGGTACGGCCGTGGCGGGGGCCAGTGGAGGTCGTACAGGTCTTGCGGCCGCAATGTGTTCGCGTCAAGTGGGGGAGGCGCCGGTGGTATGTGCACCCCTCAAGGTTGAAACCATTCATCGCGCCGCCCCGGGGTTCACACGCACACACGCATGGCCAAACGTGTGAGGGTTCCGCCGACTCCCCGGCGTCGCTGCGCTCGCCTAACTTGACATCAACTATTCCGTCCCCAGGTGCAACAGGAGTGACGGGTCCACACCCACCAACCCCTCCCGGAGGGGTCGGGGGTCACTCGGCAGCGACGCCTGACTCTCTTGTACCCGGACCGTCAACAACCGTCACTGAGCGTGCCGGGACGGGCCCTTGTGACGGGCCCGCCGCGAGAACGCGCGCCAAAACGCGCAGACTGTTGTGAGGTCGGCCGTTGGGGGGCCTTGCGGACAATGGGAGGGGTGGCGTCCGGAGTGTGTATATATGTTGGTTTTGGGGTGTTTATTCGGGGGGAGCGCGTCGGGTTATTTTTTTTTCTCTCTCTCTCTCTTCCTGTTGTTGTTCTTGTTAAGGTTCTCTTGTTCTTGTTAAATATTACGCGAGGCACACACACGGGGTTTTCGTGAGGAATGCACCTTTATTCACGTTTTTTTGCAGCCAGGGACGGCTGCGAGCTGTACAAGGGGGGGTGATGTAGAGGTGTAATTGCGCATGGCTACGAATGTTGAGGTGTGATTATGCATGGCCACGGATGGCCAACAAACACAATGGGCGGGGTTACGGCCGTACACAAGGGTGGCGCTCGCACCGACGTCCGAATGTGCGTCCCCCACGGGCCCCCCCTCGGGGGGAGTCCTATAAAAGGTGATGAGCTCGAGGGCTCGAGGTGGGGACTCAGCTTTAACCAGAGAAGACGGAAGACCTGCTAGTGTAGGCCCCAGAGCTCCCCTGGCTCGCTGTCCTTATAAGGGCCGACCAGGGCAAGCCGGTGGCGTGGCCCCGAGAGCCCAGACGAAGCTGGTCTGGTGACTCAGGGAGCCGGGATCCCAGCTTAACCAAGCTGGGACAGATAGCCTCCCCTAGTTCCATAGTGGAGGAATTGGTATAGGTTAGAGGGGTTAGCTGTCGAGAAATCCCTGTAGCCCAGTGACCTGTAATAACTGTGTTGGTGTAATAAATAAGTGTGCCTCCGATCCTGTCGTCAAGCCTCCATATACTTACTACACATGGTTAGGTGCCGACCTATCCGCCATGGAAACTTTCTTTCCCCACCACCCCATGTGTCCTCACCACACGCCGTGTCCTCTTCTGATGGTGCAAGCTTGAATTGTGTATTAACCATAAACACGAACCGTTTGCTTCACAGTAGCCGTTAAAATATCCTGATTAGCACGATTGACTACGGTGCAAAAGACGTTCAACAAACATACAAAAATAGGCCATGTGTATGCTGGCCATCAGTTCTGGACTCTGAATTGCTCTAAGAATGGCACGAATACCAAATATACAAATTCGATGTATCAGTAACATGTTAAGGCCATGTATTAATGGCGAATAACAATGTTCGGTGTCGGGCCTCCACTTGGCTGGGTCATTGGAATTGACTCTAAAACTACACTGTTGAATCTTGACTTAAAGCTTTCAAATGCTTGTCGCGACTTTGATTTGTTATTTTTTCTATCTACGTGGCTTTACCGAAAGACCCAAAGAATATCCTGTTGAGTTGTGTAAAAAGAACGAGAAGCTGTTAACATGGGTAAGTGGTCGGACATCATTTGAAAGTTCATGTATCTAAGCAGCCCCACACAGCATCTTATTTTATCCGTTGAAACCACCATTTTTAATTAGTTTTGGTGGATGTGATCTGCTACATGACGCATCTTTTGAATTTTTCACACTTGATCAACCCACTGCTGGTTGAGGGCTTCCCAATGCCGTATAATTTGTGGGAGTTGTTTGACCATACTTTATCAAGTTGGTCAGTGCGGGTGTGGTGGAAGCAGGGGTGGTTCGGGACTGTTCAGATCACTGGCCACTGAGTCATCACTGGGAATTCAACTCGTAGATCGTGGATAATAAAATGGAAAATTATATTTTACAAGTCAGGTGGTTCTGCAGTAGAGCGAGCAGCTCGCAATCTGAAGGTCGAGAGTTCAAATCCTGACCATGTATTGACTCAAACCATCATCCATCCGGAGATGAAATGAGCACCGCTGTGGAGATCAGGTCTTATCGATACTTACCCGTCAATTTCCACAACGAGCTGCAAATGGGATGACCATTGCCTAAATGTTCTTTTGAGCAAAAAATCACTTTTGACTTTGCTCTGAGAAAATAACACTGGACAATCAGCAGACCAATTGGTCTTGTGGACCTCTGCTGGTGAGACTCAGAAATCAAAACCAGACTTGTTCATAATCAGAATCTTTATTTATCCTCGAGAAATCCGATGAGTTATGAACCTCTTTTTCAATGTCCAGTTTTCCTGATTAAACAAATGCTCATGGTAAACATTGTTTCATAAAGCTATTTTACAGCAGGAATAATATGAAAATGATAGGGAGGCATGACAAAATGTTTGTCTTAAACATTTTGTGAATGTGCCATTGTGTGTTTGCTGTGGTTGGGTGGGTAGGTAGGAATCTGTTTATGCAAGTGTATAGGCCAGGGGTCAGGAACCTTTTTGACTGGGAGAGCCATAAAAGCCAAATATTTCTAAATATCTTTCATTGAGAGCCATATAGTAATTTTGAACATATAATACATTAAATATGTATTACTTTTAATGCGACTTCTGGTCACGGGACCCGTGAAATGTATCTTCAAAACTAATTTGTTTACTTTAAAATGACACAGTATTGTTAAGCAATATCGCAAGTATTTTAAAATCAGTTCCAAACTGATTTTTTTATTTTTATTTTTATCAACTCAAAATTGTCTGGGAGCCATATGCCGTCACCGGAAGAGCCCATATATGGCTCGCGAGCCATAGGTTCCCGACCGCTGGTATAGGCGTATTTGTAGGTGTGCGAGTTTTAATGGCGTGAGAGTTGGCACACTGTGCGACATAGCCGGGAACTCAGATTCGAATCCTACTCATTGCCAACACTGAATTTTATCTGAAATGGTCCTGGGCCTCCCCTAGGTCAACTCAGCCATAAATTAGTACCTAATGTGCGTAAAGATCACCACTCGGGAAACAAAGATGAAAGGCCATAGTGCTGGCCACCCACCCCCTCGTGTGCCATACTGGTCCATTATAGCTATCCAGGGGATCTTTGTATGTGTCTATTTGCTTTGTACGAGTAAAATCGACACACTGGACACCCTTGCAAACGAGACATTTCCATCTGGAGGGATTATTTGAGGCGAAATGTATATAAAGTGTGTTCCACTCAAATCACCAGCAACCGAAATCTTTTGTTGGGATGCTTTATTACAATGAAATCAAGATGGGCAGACGGCAGCTGTTTCGCCGCGTAGTTTTGACTACATCGGCATTATAAACGACGCACAATGTTATGAAAATAGTCGTGGGGCCGTGATGTCCATCTTCACATCATTACGGGAGGTGGGAGAGACTAATGCTGCTTTCTCCTGAAGGAGCACCCTGCAAAGGAACAGAACACAACACGAAGAGCTACATCAGACATGACATCAAGGTTTCTGCATGAACAAAGTTTAACTCTGAGACGAATTAATTGTGGACTGTCTAGGGCAGGGGCGGGGAACCTTTTTTCTGCCAAGGGCCATTTGGATATATATAACAGCATTCGCCGGCCATACAAAATGATCAACTTAAAAATTTGCCTGTTATATTTGGCCAAACATTGAATTAACTCACCCCTAATGTGATGGCTGGAACTGCTTCTCTCTGGTGAGGCGTGTGATGTTAGCTGGTATTGATGATATTGCTACTCGCAACTGCTTTTCCAGGTTTGTTCCTAGATTTATTGAATTTCGAGTCCTGCCTGCTTTTGCCTTGGCAGGGCCAGACCAAATGATTTTGCGGGCCTTATACAGCCCGCGGGCCGGACATTCCCCACTCCTGGTCTAGGGGATTGCTACTCATCTGCATTATCATTGCAAATGTTTACCCAGGAAGGGGGGTCCTGCTAATTTTTATCAGCAGTGTACAACGATCATGAAGTGTTTCCCAAATAAGTAATCTTTAAGTTTTCAAACGTGGCAAATTTGAACCGTGATGCCAGTACACTGTGGACTACTCTTGTGAATGACGTCACGGGATCTTTAACGTCCACCGCGAGGCTTACGGCGGGCACGTTACGGTTAACACGCTATCGTGTTATTGATACGCTATGGCATGGCCACTTTTCCAGAACGCCAGCCGGGGGTCAAGAAACTGGCCCCAAGATAGCACCCCTCACCTTCTGTGAGTCGCGCCTTCCCCCCCGTGGGCTGGCACAGCACCGTGGAGCAGCCCACGCACAGCACCACCGTCTGGGCATGGCTGAACACGGTCGTGATCTTGTAGCAGCCTGTGACACACAACACCCTCGTGAGACCTGATTCTGATAATAAAATAAGGATTCTAAGATATCTCCCAATTTTGGCTTATCGTTACGCTTGTTTTTGTCCAGGATCGGGTCTTGAGACTTTCAGGTGGGTCGTGCCATGTGTTGCTCCATGTGTAATCCCAAATTAGTAATCTGCAAATTCAATTTCAGCACTGGGATGTTTGGCCAATACCAGTTAGTGTTTTTTTTTATCTATGGGAGGAAACGCATGCAGAACAGGGCAATAACATACAACTCCACCCAGAAAGGCAGCAAAGTCAGGAATCTAACCCAAGCTCTTCTTATTGCGATACTTGAGTGTAACCACAGTTCCACCCTGCCGCACATATAATCGTGACCAGATAAACAATATAGGCAGAATTATAATATGCATTTAGACTAGAGGAATCTGCTGAACTATGATGCTCTGTTTTATAAATGTTCAGTAGAGGCGGGTCAGCAAGTTACAGGCGATGGACAGTAAGAGTTTGAGCGAGTTGCATCCGATACCACCATTGTTTGTGTACAGCCATTGGTCAATCCACTGCTGGATGAGGGTGTCTCCACACTGTGGATTATTTGAGCAAATCGTAACGATTGTGAATGGACAAAAATCGGGTCTCTATATAAAAAATATTTTCGAAGAGCAGCTAGGGTCAGACTTGGTTCATTTTACTACATTGGCAGCGAACAGTGAAGCGAATGGCTGGGTGGCTCAGCAGGAGAATGAGTGGCATGCAATTGTAAGCTTGTGAGTTGGTGTTTGATTGAATCAACCATCTCTCCTGGGTTGATAAAATGAGTATCACTTCTTGGGTGTCCTATGGATAGACTCACCCCCGCTATAAGAATATGGAATTTCCACCACTGGCTTTGCAGGGCTTTAAACAGGAGATGAGTACCAATGCCTCAATGCTTATTGGGCAGGAAATTACTCCGACTTGACACGTTTATTGAATGGATAACGCTGATAGTTGTGCAACAGACAATAAAAAAAAATGCTGGTGTTTTTTGAAAACAACGAACCACGGCCAGAGACCCCTCGTGATCCTCGGAGAATCAGGTAGGGAAACAGGCGTTGGTAACCACCTAAGGTGGTCGAAGAAGATTGACCGACGCCCACTAGCGGCTGCTGTACCTGGGCATTTCACATCCATGAAGTAGGAGTTAGGGCTCTGAACGAGACGCTTTTTCTTGTGTTTCCTCTTCTCGTCGACGAGAGACGGATGCAGTAAGTCTTTGGCGAGCTGCGAGGACAGGCAGCATAAAGCAAAACAAACACAAGGCTTAGATCACAAAGATAGCCACCCGCTTCTATTGTGCGACCCACAGCCTAGGAAAGTGACTTTCACCTTCACGGATGCACATACTTTCACACTGCTACTCTTCACGCAAAGCTTCTAAATACGATCTTCACCAGTTTTAAAAGTATCTTCCATCACTATTCTTTGGGTCTTTCGGTGAAGTCACGTAGATAAGTTCAAAGAAAATAACAAAAAAAAACTACGTTTCGATCGCAACACAAGCGGTCGTCATCAAGATCTTCCATCACTACTGTATGACACTACACAGCCTTGCAAACCAGATGTTATCCAGTTAAAACATGTTAGTATAAACACATGTATCATCTTGACATGTACCTTGTGGATGCAATGCTTACCATTCAGATTTTAAAACCGTAACAGTAAAAAAATCACCCTTTCGGTGGCTCTACAAGCAATAAACACACCTACGAACCACGGTTCTTTGCCATTCTCTTTAATGTGCAAAGTAAATAACACTCCGACGGATTCCAAGTAACTCCGCTTTAAACAATAACAGTGCATTCGATTAAATTCCTATTTAAACCAACACAAGAACCCTTAGCATTAAATACTAACATTATTTCCAAGAATACATTGCGTGCAATATCAATACTTAACTACAATGAAGTTTGGTACAGTACATAATTTCACAGTAAATTAAACGGGTTTAATGTTACAGTGCACGTAGAGTTGACCAAGACTAAGCCGAGCTCAAGTTATTTTCCTTAATCACAAAAACATCGCGGTTCTACTAATCCTGCCTGGCGGTTCTGAGCGGTGGAAACTCCACATTATCAGGTGCGAGAATATTGAAAAACATTCATCTTTGTTACAATCGGATGATCTCACGTGTTAACAAGTAAACAAAACACTCGCGTGTGCAAACGGGCCCGTAAATCTCAAGCCAAACACACCGTTACAGAATGTTCACTTAATTTAATTAAACGCGACTGAAGTTGAATTTATAACAGCGATAACTTCAGGTCGCCGTTTCCACACGGCAAAACTACGGACACATTCCCCAGTCAGCATCTGGTGTACCCCAACAGTGCAGTATCCTGTAGTAAAGCTCAACACAAAAGCGGCACCAGATCTAGGTAACAAAAAACGACTGCTTACGTCCGAAAAGCACAAAAACTCGCAGATTGTTACAATTAAAACCGGGACGGTTGGCAACTCGGGCGAGACCGCGTTTCACACGCTTCCCTATGGAGGCCTACACCGCAGAGTCAGCCCTCGGCTAGACTAGCCAGCGCCGAGCAGAGTTCACGCGGCCGCGATCGGAATCCTGAACGCCGATCTGGCCGCTCGTCGTGCTCAGACGAAGCCCCGCATCTCACTGCGGCGTTAGGAGTCGCGATTACGGCTGAGGGACGCGAGGAGACGCGGTCAAAGGGAGCGGGAGACGCGCTTCAACTCACAGGCATGGCGGCGACGAGACGCGGCCCAGGGAAAGGGAGAGCGGCGCAACGCGCATGCGCGAAGTGCGAGGGGGGTGCGAGGGGGAGGGGCACAGAAGCGCTGGACCAAGTCCCCATCCTCTTTGATTCTTTCAGAAAAGTCACTTAGGTATAAACATTTATTTTATTTCGATTTAAAGCTTTCGTGACTGCAGGGATTCATCTTATTGGTTCTTTCGGTAAAGTCACATAGAAGGGAAGTAATAAAATAATAAAAATTAAACAATAAAATAATTCTCACGACGTTTAGGCCACAACGCAAGCAGCCATCCTCAGGTGAAGAACAGGTCTGTCGAGAAGACAGAGTCTGAATGCATTTCCCATAAATATGATAAATTCCTCTTGATATGCAAATTATTTTGTCAAGGACGCTCTTCTTACACCTTCAACCCAGCTTATATATATGCTAAATTCCTCTTGATATGCAAATTATTTTGTCAAGGCACTCTTCCCCCCCTCCAACCCAGCTTAAAAAGACGCTCCAAGCCTGGGGTTGTCATTCAGACTCTGTCTTCTCGACAGACCTGTTCTTCACCTGAGGACGGCTGCTTGCGTTGTGGCCGAAACGTCGTGAGAATTATTTTATTATGTTTTATTTTTATTATTTTATTACTTCCCTTCTACGTGACTTTACCGAAAGAACCAAGAAGATTTATTTTATTTTTTATATCTCGGTAAAGTCACGGAGGTACAAACATTTATTTTATTTTTTATACCTCGGTAAAGTCACGTAGGTATAAAAAATATTTTATTTTTTATACCTACGTGGACCAAGTCCCCATCTTCTTTGATTCTTTCGGTAAAGTCACGTAGGTATAAACATTTATTTTATTTTTTATACCTCGGTAACGTCACGTAGGTATAATTTTTTTTATATTTTTTATACCTACGTGACTTTACCGAAAGAACCAAAGAGGATGGCGACTGCGTGACTTTACCGAAAGAACGTAGGCATTAAAATTTTAAATAAAATGTTTATACCAACGTGACTTTACCAAAAGAACGCAGGTATAAAAATGAAAGAATTTTTTTTAAATAAAAATTTTTTTTAAAATAAAATATTTTTTTCTACCTACGTGACTTTACCGAAAGAACCAAAGAGTATGGATCCCTGCAGTCACGAAAACGTCCAATTTAGGCAGCCCCCATCATCAGGGAGCTCCTCCAGCAGGCGAAGCTGCGTTGGCTGGGTCATTTCAGTTTCCAGTTTCATTTATTTGGTACAGCCTTGTGAGCCATTTGGCTCTTGAATCGGGTGCAACCGCAACAAACAAAAGCATGAACAAGAAACATCTTAAAGTGACTACGAGCAAACAGAAAAATCCAGGAAAAAACAGCAGCCCACACAGCCAGTCGCCGCATGATGATGAGGTTAAAAGGACGCGGCACGGGCTAGAGAAGAGATGGGCTGATGTGGTACAGAAACATGTGGAGTTTATTGGACTTGCCGATGACTGGTCGCAGAGGTGTCAAGATTGGCCTATGTGGAGGAGGTTCGTGAAGGACGCCGCTGGTTGGAGGAAGTCGCATTCCAACAACAACGGAGGACGGAGGACCGACGCTCACAACAACGAGCAGAGCTCTAGTCGGCTAACATTCAGAGAATTGGCACAGTGGGGAGCACAGTTAGTGCATCTGCCACTCCAAGGCCGTAGCCATGAAGTCAACATTGGGGGGGACCAAATCTTCCAGGGGGTCTGGGGTCCCCCCCCATAAAAAAAATCTAAATTTGAAAACGAAATTTCCTACCTAAAATAAAAAAAATTCACTAACACATGGGATGGACTTTTTATAATTTTTTTACAATAATGTATAATATTGTATTGTATTACATTGCTCTGTTTTTCTTTTTTACCTTTTCTTGTTTTATTGTATGTAACGGCAGAGATTAGGGATTAAAAAAGTACAACCATAACCACAATCATATAAACATAATCTATTTTATAGCAATATATTGGGGGGGGACATTTTGAGTATATTTGAATATTATTATAATTACGGCCTTATACCACTCAACCCATGGCACCTGGCCTGCCAGCGGGCCTTCGACACTTAATGTGGCCTAAAAGTGCATGGGGTGGTCAGACCACCGACACTTGGTGGTTGAACGGCGACGGTGGGTTGATAGTTGTGGTCAGCGTGCAGCGCGCGTCTTCATGACTCGGCAAGCGTGGGAAAGGTAAACGCGCAGCTCTGCAAGGGTTCAAGTTTCAAAGTCGATTTTGTTCATTCCAGGTGAAAAAACTCTAGTGACCTGGGTCCCCAAAATGACAATCAAAACAACATAAACAAAGCTCATGTAATCTAGATCTTAAATGTGCAATGAAATTTTTTGATGCTCCTGCTGTTGTGGAGTGACTCATGCAGCCAGCTATGGCTGCAGGGTTTGGTGGTACATGTTGTTTCTGTCGTTTATTGTGAAAATTCTGTCACAGTTCCTATGGTCACTGCTACATTGCTTTCATGGCTTTATTTTGGTGATTTCGAAAAGTTTTTTTGGTTTGGCCATGTTTGTTTGTTGTAGTACGGAATAAGACTGATGGCTTTAATCTAAGTTGTCTTGTGGTTGTTGTTGTTTGACTTGCATCCCACTGGGATTTTTGCACACAGCGTTGGTGTACGGTGGGTTTTCTGCTATATTTTGCTGTCTTTCTTAGATTTTCTGTTTGCACATAGTCACATAGTCACTTTAAAATGTTTTCTTGTTCATGTTTTTGTTTTTTGTTTGTTGCGGTTGCACCCGATTCAAGAGCCGAATGGCTACAGAGCTATAGCAAATAAATGAAACTGAAGTTTTCGTGACTGCAGGGATCCATACTCTTTGGTTCTTTCGGTAAAGTTATGTAGGACGTTTGTGTTGCGCCCAAAACGTCGTGATTTATTTATTTACATTTTATACCTGCGTGACTTTACCGAAAGAACCAAAGAGTATTAAGTTCATATAATAACGTTCAAATGAAGTATAGAAACGGGGCAAATGGAAATCAGCGCCTAAATAAGTGTGTCACACAAGAGTTGGTAAATATTCGACGAACATTTTTTAATGATAAAATTCCCTGCAGCCGCAAGTCGGGCCCGGGCAGGTGAAGAAGTGTCGACCACAGCGCAGTTCCGGTGAGCTGCTGCTGCGGTAGCCTCCACGAGAGGGAGCTCTAGCCTAGAGCTCAGCTGCATTTGACCGACCCTTCCTCGTCTCGCAAGGCAGAGGCTGGGGTTATTATACCCTTTGCGACTCAGTCGTATATGGCCGTGACATATTGTGCGCGTTACTAGTTACATGAGTATAATTACCAACACTTTACCCCGTCACACGGGAGTTCATATCCAGAGGTAAAAACATCTGAGTTGACATAGGCTTGGCTAACCTGATAGCCGAGAGTTTCAGTTTTCAGTTTCATTTATTAGGTATAGCCCTGTGAGCCATACGGCTCTTGAATCGGGTGCAACCGCAACAAACAAAAAAACATGAACAAGAAAACATCTTAAAGTGACTATGCGCAAACAGAAAAATCCAGGAAAAAAATAATAAAAAACCCAGCAGTTGTGCAAGACGGGAGAGTCCCCTGTGTGGTTCAGGAGCTCGATGCCAATATCGAGGTCTGATGGCCACGACGAGAGAGAGAGAGATCGTGTCATTTTGCTGTCCCTCCGTTGAAGGACCGTGGAATCCTAATCTTTATTTAGACTGGAGGAGGAAGCCAATGCGCTATGAAGCTCTTTTCACAGATTTCCAGTCGGGGAGGGTCAGCAAGTAAAAAACAAATAATGCGAAAAACAAAATAAGTGCAAAGGTAGAGAAAAGGTGAGCAAGTCACGATAAACAAGTATTTCAGTACAAGTTGTATAAGTAGTGTTCATAGATTCCGCTTCAGGGAAAGGCAGCAAAAAAAGCCCGACAAAGACAGTCCGAGATCACACCAAGACAACGCAGTAGTCCCTAAATAAAATTGCACATTCAAATGTAACTATCGATACATGGGTAATGATCAAAGTCACAAAATTAATCACATTTGCAAGACTGCAGTGGTTTACTATATGGTCTGAAGTTTTGTTCCATGCCCAGTCACACTGTTACTTGTGTCTCTAATGTGTTTCTATTTATCAATCTAGATTTGAAGTCCTGTATGGTTATAGGCTTACTTTAGAGTGCATAGTTTGGGTTGCCACAATCTCACTGCTGTGGCTTGTCTTACATTTTCCATTTACAAAGGAGATGTGCGCATCGGCCTGATGTTCGATGATCTGATACGTTACGCACACGTACACAAGTTTTTCACACGCACAGGTTAACACACAACACAGGTTACATACCAACCAATTACCAAAAGCCGCTATTCGACACTAAGTGGCGGTGACGTCCCCACGGCCCTGGTGCCATGCTAGGTGCACTTTGAGGCCAAGTGAAGTGTCGAAGGCTTGCTGACAGGAGGTCTCGGGACAGACTTGGGATACACACACAAGTAACATACGTTACACACACGCACACAATTTACACACACAACACAAGTTATACACACGCACACAAGTTACGCACACAAGTTACACACACTCGTTACACCCCCGCACACAATTGACACAACACAAGTTACGCACACAAGATACACATACAACGCATAAGTTACGCACATGCACACAAGATGCACACACAACACAAATAACACGCACAAGACAAATTACACACACAAGTTACACACACAATCTAGATTTGACACACACAAGTTACACACACAACACCCAAGTTACACACAAGTTACGCACACGACACACAAATTACGCACATGACACACAAGTTACGCACACAACACACAAATTACGCGCACACAACACACAAGATACACACACAACACACAAGTTACAAACACAAGTTACACACACAACACAAGTTACGCACACAAGTTACACACACAACAAGTTACACACACAACACACAAGTTACACACACAACACAAGTTACGCACATGACACACAAGTTACGCACACGCACACAAGATACACACATAGCACACAACACACAAGTTACACACACAAGTTACACACACAATCTAGATTTGATACACAACACACAAGTTACGCACACAAGTTACACACACAACACACACGTTACGCACACAACACCCAAGTTACACACAAGTTACGCACACAACACACAAGTTACGCACACAACACTCAAGTTACACACAAGTTACGCACACAACACACAAGTTACACACAAGTTACGCACACAACACACAAGTTACGCACACAACACCCAAGTCACACACACAAGTTACGCACACGACACACAAGTTACGCACACAACACCCAAGTTACACACACAACACACAAGTTACACACACAACACCCAAGTTACACACAAGTTACGCACACGACACACAAATTACGCACATGACACACAAGTTACGCACACAACACACAAATTACGCGCACACAACACACAAGATACACACACAACACACAAGTTACAAACACAAGTTACACACACAACACAAGTTACGCACACAAGTTACACACACAACAAGTTACACACACAACACACAAGTTACACACACAACACAAGTTACGCACATGACACACAAGTTACGCACACGCACACAAGATACACACATAGCACACAACACACAAGTTACACACACAAGTTACACACACAATCTAGATTTGATACACAACACACAAGTTACGCACACAAGTTACACACACAACACACACGTTACGCACACAACACCCAAGTTACACACAAGTTACGCACACAACACACAAGTTACGCACACAACACTCAAGTTACACACAAGTTACGCACACAACACACAAGTTACACACAAGTTACGCACACAACACACAAGTTACGCACACAACACCCAAGTTACACACACAAGTTACGCACACGACACACAAGTTACGCACACAACACCCAAGTTACACACACAACACACAAGTTACACACACAACACCCAAGTTACACACAAGTTACGCACACAACACTCAAGTTACACACACAACACACAAGTTACGCACACAACACCCAAGTTACACACAAGTTACGCACACAACACTCAAGTTACACACACAACACTCAAGTTACACACACAACACCCAAGTTACACACAAGTTACGCACACAACACTCAAGTTACACACACAACACTCAAGTTACACACACAACACCCAAGTTACACACAAGTTACGCACACAACAATCAAGTTACACACACAACACTCAAGTTACACACACAACACCCAAGTTATACACAAGTTACGCACACAACACTCAAGTTACACACACAACACTCAAGTTACACACACAACACCCAAGTTACACACAAGTTACGCACACAACACTCAAGTTACACACACAACACTCAAGTTACACACACAACACCCAAGTTACACACAAGTTACGCACACAACACTCAAGTTACACACACAACACTCAAGTTACACACACAACACCCAAGTTACACACAAGTTACGCACACAACACTCAAGTTACACACACAACACTCAAGTTACACACACAACACCCAAGTTACACACAAGTTACGCACACAACACTCAAGTTACACACACAACACTCAAATTACACACACAACACCCAAGTTACACACAAGTTACGCACACAACACTCAAGTTACACACACAACACTCAAGTTACACACACAACACCCAAGTTACACACAAGTTACGCACACAACACTCAACTTACACACACAACACTCAAGTTACACACACAACACCCAAGTTACACACAAGTTACGCACACAACACTCAAGTTACACACACAAACACTCAAATTACACACACAACACCCAAGTTACACACAAGTTACGCACACAACACTCAAGTAACACACACAACACTCAAGTACACACACAACACCCAAGTTACACACAAGTTACGCACACAACACTCAACTTACACACACAACACACAAGTTACGCACACGCTCAAGTGACGCCCTCGGGTCGCGCCAGTGGGGGGCGCTGTTGTAGCTCGGGGTGGGGGTGGGGGGGGGGGCGTTGTTGGAGCTCGGGGTGGGGTGGGGGGGCGTTGTTGTAGCTCGGGGTGGGGTGGGGGGGCGTTGTTTTGTTGTAGCTCGGGGTGGGGTGGGGGGGCGTTGTTGTAGCTCGGGGTGGGGTGGGGGGGCGTTGTTGTAGCTCGGGGTGGGGTGGGGGGGCGTTGTTGTAGCTCGGGGTGGGGTGGGGGGCGTTGTTGTAGCTCGGGGTGGGAGGTGCCGAGGCTGCTGCTGTCGTCGTCTTGGTGGCTGCTGCTGGTGGTGCTCGGGCCGCGCTGCTGTTAGTAGTTGTGGTGACTATGGACGTGGAGGCCAAGCTGCGCGTGTCGTGGCGGCGGGAGCGCAGCGACGAGAGGGACGAGGCCCCCGTGAAGGTGACGCGGCCGCCCTCTCACACGGACCCGCGTCGGCGTGGCGGGCAGGCGAGGGGCGGGCTTGCCTAGGCCTAGTGGGCCGTGCCTGGGCCTGCGTGTGTTTATGTATACTGTACTGTATCCGAGCAATTATAATAGTTAAAATGTTAACGGAAGTAAGGTCTGTCAGGGATTGGGTAAAGAAACGATGGAAGTTAATGCTAAAGTGGAGCAGTACAAGGGAATAAGCAGAGAAGTGAGGTGACCAGTTTTGAGTGGGAGTACATTGTATTGTGACCTGCAGTGTGGTGAGTTTGGTGGGTGAGTGTGTTGTGACCTGCAGTGTGGTGAGTTTGGTGGGTGAGTGTGTTGTTGAGACCTGCAGTGTGGTGAGTTTGGTGGGTGAGTGTGTTGTTGAGACCTGCAGTGTGGTGAGTTTGGTGGGTGAGTGTGTTGTTGTGACCTGCAGTGTGGTGAGTTTGGTGGGTGAGTGTGTTGTTGTGACCTGCAGTGTGGTGAGTTTGGTGGGTGAGTGTGTTGTTGTGACCTGCAGTGTGGTGAGTTTGGTGGGTGAGTGTGTTGTTGTGACCTGCAGTGTGGTGAGTTTGGTGGGTGAGTGTGTTGTTGAGACCTGCAGTGTGGTGAGTTTGGTGGGTGAGTGTGTTGTTGTGACCTGCAGTGTGGTGAGTTTGGTGGGTGAGTGTGTTGTTGTGACCTGCAGTGTGGTGAGTTTGGTGGGTGAGTGTGTTGTTGTGACCTGTAGTGTGGTGAGTTTGGTGGGTGAGTGTGTTGTTGTGACCTGCAGTGTGGTGAGTTTGGTGAGTGAGTGTGTTGTTGTGACCTGTAGTGTGGTGAGTTTGGTGGGTGAGTGTGTTGTTGTGACCTGCAGTGTGGTGAGTTTGGTGGGTGAGTGTGTTGTTGTGACCTGCAGTGTGGTGAGTTTGGTGAGTGAGTGTGTTGTTGTGACCTGCAGTGTGGTGAGTTTGGTGGGTGAGTGTGTTGTTGTGACCTGCAGTGTGGTGAGTTTGGTGGGTGAGTGTGTTGTTGTGACCTGTAGTGTGGTGAGTTTGGTGGGTGAGTGTGTTGTTGTGACCTGCAGTGTGGTGAGTTTGGTGGGTGAGTGTGTTGTTGTGACCTGCAGTGTGGTGAGTTTGGTGGGTGAGTGTGTTGTTGTGACCTGCAGTGTGGTGAGTTTGGTGGGTGAGTGTGTTGTTGTGACCTGCAGTGTGGTGAGTTTGGTGGGTGAGTGTGTTGTTGTGACCTGCAGTGTGGTGAGTTTGGTGGGTGAGTGTGTTGTTGTGACCTGCAGTGTGGTGAGTTTGGTGGGTGAGTGTGTTGTTGTGACCTGCAGTGTGGTGAGTTTGGTGGGTGAGTGTGTTGTTGTAGACCTGCAGTGTGGTGAGTTTGGTGGGTGAGTGTGTTGTTGTGACCTGCAGTGTGGTGAGTTTGGTGGGTGAGTGTGTTGTTGTGACCTGCAGTGTGGTGAGTTTGGTGGGTGAGTGTGTTGTTGTGACCTGCAGTGTGGTGAGTTTGGTGGGTGAGTGTGTTGTTGTGACCTGCAGTTTGGTGAGTTTGGTGGGTGAGTGTGTTGTTGTGACTGCAGTGTGGTGAGTTTGGTGGGTGAGTGTGTTGTTGTGAACTGTAGTGTGGTGAGTTTGGTGGGTGAGTGTGTTGTTGTGACCTGCAGTGTGGTGAGTTTGGTGGGTGAGTGTGTTGTTGTGAACTGTAGTGTGGTGAGTTTGGTGGGTGAGTGTGTTGTTGTGACCTGCAGTGTGGTGAGTTTGGTGGGTGAGTGTGTTGTTGTGACCTGCAGTGTGGTGAGTTTGGTGGGTGAGTGTGTTGTTGTGACCTGCAGTGTAGTGAGTTTGGTGGGTGAGTGTTGGTGTGACCTGCAGTGTGGTGAGTTTGGTGGGTGAGTGTGTTGTTGTGACCTGCAGTGTGGTGAGTTTGGTGGGTGAGTGTGTTGTTGTGACTTGCAGTGTGGTGAGTTTGGTGGGTGAGTGTGTTGTTGTGATCTGCAGTGTGGTGAGTTTGGTGAGTGAGTTTGTTGTTGTGACCTGCAGTGTGGTGAGTTTGGTGGGTGAGTGTGTTGTTGTGAACTGTAGTGTGGTGAGTTTGGTGGGTGAGTGTGTTGTTGTGACCTGCAGTGTGGTGAGTTTGGTGGGTGAGTGTGTTGTTGTGAACTGTAGTGTGGTGAGTTTGGTGGGTGAGTGTGTTGTTGTGACCTGCAGTGTGGTGAGTTTGGTGGGTGAGTGTGTTGTTGTGACTTGCAGTGTGGTGAGTTTGGTGGGTAAATGTGTTGTTGTGAACTGTAGTGTGGTGAGTTTGGTGGGTGAGTGTGTTGTTGTGACCTGCAGTGTGGTGAGTTTGGTGGGTGAGTGTGTTGTTGTGACTTGCAGTGTGGTGAGTTTGGTGGGTGAGTGTGTTGTTGTGAACTGTAGTGTGGTGAGTTTGGTGGGTGAGTGTGTTGTTGTGACCTGCAGTGTGGTGAGTTTGGTGAGGGAGTGTGTTGTTGTGACCTGCAGTGTGGTGAGTTTGGTGGGTGAGTGTGTTGTGACCTGCAGTGTGGTGAGTTTGGTGGGTGAGTGTTGGTGTGACCTGCAGTGTGGTGAGTGGGTGTGTTGTTGAGACCTGCAGTGTGGTGAGTTTGTTGGGTGAGTGTGTTGTTGTGACTTGCAGTGTGGTGAGTTTGGTGAGTGAGTGTGTTATTGTGACCTGCAGTGTGGTGAGTTTGGTGGGTGAGTGTGTTATTGTGACCTGCAGTGTGGTGAGACGCTGAGTTTGGTGGGTGGGTGTGTTGTTGTGACTTGCAGTGTGGGTGAGTTTGGTGGGTGAGTGTGTTGTTGTGACTTGCAATGTGGTGAGTCTGGTGGGTGAGTGTGTTATTGTGACCTGCAGTGTGGTGAGTTTGGTGGGTGAGTGTGTTGTTGTGACCTGCAATGTGGTGAGTTTGGTGGGTGAGTGTGTTGTTGTGAACTGCAGTGTGGTGAGTTTGGTGGGTGTGGTGAGTGGGTGAGTGTGTTGTGACCTGCAGTGTGGTGAGTGGGTGAGTGTGTTGTTGTGACCTGCAGTGTGGTGAGTGGGTGAGTGAGTGTGTTGTTGTGACCTGCAGTGTGGTGAGTCTGGTGGGTGAGTGTGTTATTGTGACCTGCAGTGTGGTGAGTTTGGTGGGTGAGTGTGTTGTTGTGAACTGCAGTGTGGTGAGTTTGGTGGGTGAGTGTGTTGTTGTGACTTGCAGTGTGGTGAGTTTGGTGGGTGAGTGTGTTGTTGTGACCTGCAGTGTGGTGAGTTTGGTGGGTGAGTGTGTTGTTGTGACCTGCAGTGTGGTGAGCGGGTGAGTTTGGTGGGTGAGTAGATTATGACCTGCAGTTTGGTTAGAGAGTGAATTTGGTGGGTGAGTGTGTTGTTGTGACCTGCACTGTGGTGAGAGGGTAAATTTGGTGGGTGAGTGTGGTGTTGTGACCTGCAGTGTGGGTGAGTTGGTTGTGGACAGCACAGCTGGTGCATCTGCCAGTCATCTCAGTCGGTCAACCCATGGCACCTGGGTCTGTTCCGTGACCTGCCAGCCGACATTTGACACTTCACGTGGCCTCAAAATGCATCTGGCATTGCACAGGCGCTGTGGTGATGTCACCGCCACTTAGTAATGAACAGCAGTTGGAAGTGCATCAGTGAGTGCTGTATTGTAAAATATATGAAGAGGAGAATGGGTCATGGATTTGTCGATAGTTAGCGATGGAGTGGGTGGCAGCTGGAGGAAGAAAGAGGCGTAGGCTTCCAGCATCGTGTAGTGGCTCATTACGATGACGCGTCTTCACGCGTGTTGTTTACTGAACGTCTTTTCTCCAAGGCTCTTTACAATGATTATTAAATTGTACATAAGATGATAGTGGTTAATATAAAGAGTGGGGTTATTAAAAGTGGTGTAGTGAGGTGACAGGAGGGAAGGTATTAGCAATCAATGGGGGTGATTGTGGTATTATTATTTTGATGATGAAGTGGTGATGCTGTTATTGATGTTACTGCAGGTGATGGAAAATGTATGCAACTGTTATGCTAATGAAGCAAACAACTGTAACAAATACTGAAAAAACGAGAATCAATCCCAATGAGACGATGAAACTGAGACAAAGTGAATTGAGTCTTTAATTGAATCGCAGTCCTGTATCGGGAAAATTCAACGAATAGCTATGAATGATGCTGCTGCTGATGATGTTGATGCTACTGATAATGATGGTGATGATGCTGATGATTTTCATAGCCATGCTGCTGATGATGCTGTAATTATGCTGTAGATTATAATAACGCTGTTGCTGCTGCTGATGTCGAAGATGCTAATGATGCTAATGATGCTGTCCATTCCAGCGTGCCCGGACTTCTGAGCACCAAGAGGCTTCTTCAGATGAAAATGACGACGACTACGTGCCATACGTGCCAGTCAAGGAGCGCAAGAAGCAGCAGGTTCTGTCCCGTCATCATCGTGTCCCCACCCCAACCAATGTTTCTCTGCATGAGCGTCAGTGGCTTGAGGGCTGAGAGTGCGTTGTAATATTGGTGACGAATATCTGAACCAGTCCTGGGCTTCCCCTAGATCAACTCAACCTTGAATGAGGACCTGGTATGGTGTGTAAACATCAGCACTGGAGAGACAAAGGCGGCTGGCTGTGGTCCTGGCCACACCACCCCCTTGAGCATTGTGGTAACCTACATATATTATCACAAACAGCACTTCCCCCAACAGCTTATTAAGGCTTTCGGAGGGCTCTTCATGTTGTGGGGAGTGATGGCATAGCAGTTGGCATGCTGCGCTATGAGCCTTGCGACCCGTGTTGGATTTCCATTCACGGCCAACACGAGTGACGAATATCTGAACCGATCCTTGGCCTGCCCTAGGTTGACTCGTCCTCAAATAACTACGTCGTGCAGTGTGTAAAAAGCAGCACTAGAGAGAGAAAGGGGACCAGGCGTGGCAATGGCCACCCACCCCCTTGTGGGCTGTGCCGGCCTTCATATGTTCTCACTTACAGGACTTGCAGAGGCAGCTTGTATATACGTGAATGGATATATCTCTTTCTTTGTATTTCTGTGTGTGTATCTCGCTGTGTGTATCTCTGTATATCTGCGTGTCTCTGTGTGTATCTCATTGTGTATATATCATTGTATGTGTATCTTGGTAGTGTAGCAGTTAGCATGCTGCACTACGAAGCTAGCGATCCGGGTTCGATTTCCGCTTATGGTCAACACCAGTGACAATTATGGGTGGACGTAGACTGTGATGACGACCTGGTGTGGTGTGTAAACATCACCACTAGGGAAACAAAAGCAGCCAGGCGTGGTGTTGGCCACCCACCCTCATGTGCCGTACTGGCCTTTATAGATTCTTCTCGCTCACACCACTTGCAGTCTTACTCTTTGGTTCTTTCGGTAAGTCAAGTAGAAAATCAAATCGAATTTTTTTTCTTTTCTACGTGACTTTACCGAAAAAATCAAGGAGTAATTCCTGCAGTCACGAAATCTTCGAACTTGCAGTCTTGTTACAGGCTATACGGTCTGTGTATGTCAGATGTTGCGGCTGCTCAAGCAGGTGCAGTATGGACGGGGAAGGGGCGGCATGGGGGAGGGGGAGGCTGGGGAGGGAGGCGCGAGCGAGGAGGACGAGCCGGCCGGCCCACGGTCCAACATCAGCCTCCTGGACCAGCACCAGCAGCTGAAGGAGCGTGCAGAGGGTACACACACTCGTCTATACACTATATACTACACTAGTCTGTACACTATACTAGTTACTACACTTCACTAGCCTATACACGACACACTACACTATTATATACACTACACACGACAATAGTCTATACACTATATAGGCATGTCTCACTTAACGAGCGAGATAAGTTTGCTCGCTAAGCGAAAACTTGTTAAACGATCTTTGTTTTCCCATTGACTCCCATGTTAAAAGCTGAACAACGTTTCAGCCACAACATTATCCACTTTTTTACGTGAGAAGTACAATTACATTTTTTAAAATAAAGTAATAAAACATAAAATGTTACACCACACGTGAAAAACCACAGTGTAAGATTCCCCTTATAGTTGATACAGACTGTTGGGAAAAGTGCTGTTATCGAGCATCTATGAAGGCCGGTGTGGCACACGAGGGGTGGTTGGCCAGCACCACGCCTGGCCGCCTTTGTCTCCCTAGTGGCGATGTTTATTCATCGCACCAGGTCGTCATTCGAGGCCGAGTCGACCTAGGGGAGGCCCAGGACGAGTTCAGATAATCGTCACTGGTGTTGGCCGTGAGCGGGAATCGAACAAGGGTCGCCAGATTCAAAGCACCGCACGCTAACCGTTACACCACCGCTCCCCCCACCCCTCCTGCCACCCGTCCATTACAGTACCACCACGAGTCCCCCTTCCCCAACACAACCAAACGCGTGCACTTAGCACAGGAGTGCTGCTAAACAGACAGCTGCAGGCCACAGTGCACCCTCTGCCGCCATGGGATGCATATTTATTGATCAGTCTCAGCTCGATAAGGGAACATTTTGGTCGTTTTGCGAAACAAATGGGTCTAAATCCAAACTGCTTGTGAGAGAGAATTCTCGTAGAAAGAACAGCTCGTTAAGCCAGACACACCTGTACACTACACTCGTCTATACGGCATACACTATACACTGCACTATTATATACTGCATACACGGTCACAATCTGGAGCCCTCCTCGTGTCCCCCGTCTGTATAATTTGGTCATACACTTGAGGCCCACTTGTATCCTCCCGTCTGTATCTGTCACAGTGTGGAGAGACCCCTTTGTGTCCCCTCATCTGTAAATTCCGTCAAAATTCCGTCACAGTTCCTATGATCACTGTTTCATTGCTTTCATGGCTTTATTTTGGTGATTTCTAAAAGTGTATTGGTTTAGCCATGTTTGTTTGTTGTAGTACAGAGTTAAGACTGATGGCCTTAATCTAAGTTGTCTTGTGGTTGTTGTTGGTTGTTTGACTTGCATCTCACTGGGATTTTTGCACACAACGTTGGTGTATGGTGATTTTTTTCTGCAATATTTTGCTGTCTTTTCTTGGATTTTCTGTTTGCACTTAGTCACATATTCACTTTAAGATGTTTTTTGTTCATGTATTTGTTTGTTGTGGTTGCACCCGATTGAAGAGCCGAATGGCTCACAGGGCTATACCTAATAAATGAACTTGAACTTGAATGATCAGTCACTGACTGGATCCCCCTTCGTGTCCCCCTCCGTTTGCAGCTCGTAAGGAGTCTGCCAAGGAGAAGATGCTGGAGGAAGAAAAGAAGATTTTGGAGAGCGTTGCAGAGGGAAAAGGTAACTCAAATACCATGTTGATTCATTTGTGTTAATTATAATTTAATCTACTTGTCCACATCCACAAACATAGCAGGTATACAGCAGATAACAAACAAATGCTGCCTGAAACAAAATAGGTGATGGAATAAGCTGCGTATATTTCGTTTTTTCCCCCCTTAATTATTATTCTTTAACTGTTCATTATGTCGTCACCAAGTACATTCCATAGTGATCCATTCCCTGCCATATTTGATCAGTTATCTAAAATGTTAAATTATGTTTAAGATTTAAGTACAAAAACTGCTGCCCACAAAGGGGCAGCCAAAGAGCTGCAAGGGGGCAGCTAAAAAGCCACATGGGGCTCCCGAGTCGTAGGTTGCTGGCCCCCGGACTGGTTTGAGATGAGGGTTGGTGTTCAGAATTGGAGATTTTTGTTTCCTCACTTTATTAATGAAGGTTTAGTATCCAGAGCCTTGGCTGGGGCATCACAGCACTTGGCAATGTTTGGCAATGTGGCTGCACATGCTAAACTCTTTGCATGACCTTTCCTTAACAAAACTTTTATTTTAAAACTCATCTTTTATTTTACCAGGTAAAACCTGCTGAGCTATTAGCTCGTTTTCATTAGTGACCTGGCCACTAATGATAGCTCAAAGAAGTTGCTTATCATGTTGAAGTTTATAGCAGCCAAATATTCTAAATGCATGTTTCTAAATGTGGAAAGAAAAACCGGAGGAGGACCCGGAGAAAATTCCACGTGGCCACAGGGAGAGAGACCTGCAAACTCCAAATATGCAACAGGCATCAGAGTCAGAATCGAACCCATGACCTACTGCATACCAGGCGAGGGAGATAACATATTGTCGCTGCGGCGCCCCTAAAGCCATAAGGTGGTGGGGATGAGACTGTAAAGTAGTCCTTGAAAGTCTGGTGTCGATATTGTTCAAGTCCCAATGTCTAGCAGGAGTAAGAAAGTGATGGCGTAAGTGGCATTGGTACAGGGATGTCTCGTCCACCGCTGATATTGATGTTGGTGTCGTTGCAGCGTTGATGTCGGTGAAGGAAATGGCTAAGGGCATCACTTATACCAGGGCCTGCAAGTCTGGGTGAGTGAGATATCGTCATCACCAGTCTTGGTTCCTCCACTGCTGGATGACGGCAGACAAAAGTGCTCACCAACAGCACTTGTCCCAACGCTATAAAGTGTCACCTGGTTGGACTTGTGTGTGTGTGTGTATTTGCGTGTATTTTTTAGTAAACTGAGTAGGGGTACAGTTATGCCTCAATTTATGAATGTTCGGTTTATGAAATTTCGTGTAAATGCAATGGACAAAATATGGACAATTTTCGATTGACGAAATTGAATTACCGCGTGAACTAAGGTGGCAGTGTGGTGCAGAGGTGGTGTATCTGCCAGTCATCTAAGTCGGTCAACCTATAACACCTGGGTCTGTCCTGTGACCTGCCAGCAAGTGGTCCACACTTTATCTGATAGGTTCCAAGTCCTCTTAGCCTGGTGCAAGCGCCGTGATGATATCACTGCCACTTAGTAGCAAATGGTGACGATTGGCTGTTGTTCAATGACCGGTTGTTGTTGAATGACTGATTCCTGTTGAATGACTAATTTATTGAATGACTGATTGCTGCTGAATGACCGATTGTTTTAAACGAATGACCGACTGTTGTCGAATGACCCAGGTGGAGAGCCCCCCGCCGCGTGGTGAACATGCCAGAGGACCGGCACGGGCGCGTGAGGCGCAAATGGCACATCCTGGTGGAAGGGGAGGAGCTCCCCATGCCCCTCAAGAGCTTCAGAGACATGAAGTTTCCTCCAGGTACTGTTTGCCGTCACTCACCAGTGGAACAGGGAGCCAGCAGTTGAGTGAGTCATGTAGTCTGCATGCCCAGCCACTGCATGCCCACGTAGCTTCTGTTTAGCTGGATAGAGGGGGCTAAATAGGCATGGCACAGGCTAGAGACGAGATGGACTGGTGTGGTACAGAAGGATGTGGAGTTTATTGGACTTGCCGATAATTGGTCCCAGCCATGTCAAGATCGGCCTCTGAAGGAGGCTAATGAAGGACGCTGCTGGTGAGTTGGAGGGAGTTGCCCTCCAGCAACAACGGAGGGCAGAGGAGCAACGCTCACAACAACGAGCGGAGTGCCGGGCGGTTAAAATACGGAGTTGGCACAGTGAGGAGCACAGTTGATGCATCTGCCAGTCATCTCATTCAGTCGGCGCATGGCACCTGGGTCTGTCCCATGACCTGCCAGCGGGCATTTGACACTTCACGTAGCCTAAAAGTGCATCTAGCATGGCACAGGTGCTGTGGTGACGTCACAGCCACTTAATGGTGAATGATAGTTGTTGTTGAGTCAGGCACATGACTCACTTGGTAAATCAGACAATCTGTGGGGGTTTTTACTTGGACAGTTAGTCAGCCACTTGTTTGTTCGCTTACTCATCCACAAACTCACTTATCCACACATTCGTTGACTCGCCCAATCATCAATTAATGTATTCAGCCACTCTTCTCACTGATGATGATGATGACGACAATAATAATGATGATAATGATACCATCCCACAGCAATCGTGCGGGGCCTCAAGAGGAAAGGCATCGTGAAACCGACTCCCATCCAGATCCAGGGCCTCCCCACTGTGTGAGTGTCTCCCTCGGAAAGAAGCACAAGCCAGATATCTTAAGTGCCTTGCATTGGTTCCTGAATCCATGTTATGACCAAAACCAGAGAGAAGTAATGCTGCTTGTTAACTTAAAGAAGGATGGTGACAATGATAGTGGTGATGATGATGCATCATCCATCCGCCCATTAAATACAAAGATCCCCCAGTATTGCCTTAACAGACTGTTGGAGCATGTGCTGATAGCGCATAGCACCTATGAGGGCCGATACGGCACACGAGTTGGGTGGGTGGCCAGCAACACACCCGACCGCCTTTGTCTCCCCAGTGGCGATATTTACACATCGCACCAGGAACTAACTTGAGGCTGAATATACCTCGGGGAGGCCAAAGAACCAATTCAGATAATTGTCACTTGTGATCACACACACCCCCGTCTTAATGACTCACCCACCCTTTGTCTACTCTTAGGTTTTTTCGGTAAAGTCACGTAGGTAAAAATTAATAATAAAAATAATAAAAATAAAATAATAAATCACGACGTTTCGGAGGCAACACAAGCCTCCGTCATCAGGTGGGACCGTCACAGCTAAATTTACTGTATCAAGCGAGGCAAAATTCCAAGAGACAAGCCCTTAAATACAAGTTAAGGGGGAGGGCGGAAGGGGCTTATCTGAATGTGGTAGTCAGGGAATGGAACGTGTTGGAGGGGGGGGGTGGGCGGGGCTAAAAGAGAACAATCGGTGCACCTCGACTTGGGGTTGTAACCGGTGTTGGCTGACAATCCAAATACAAAAAAGGAAGTACTGTTAAACGCTGGGGATGTCAACACTCGGTTAAGTAGAATAGTACCTGTCAAATAAGATGGTACAAATATGTGTAGTTAAATCTTTTTTTTACATGGTTAATAACATCCTTTTTTCTGGTGCAATGTGTCTATTGCCAGCCTAATAACACCCTTTGTCTATTGCCAGCCTCTCTGGGAGGGATATGATTGGAATTGCCTTCACGGGTTCAGGAAAAACACTCGTGTTTACGCTGCCCATCATCATGTTCTGCGCCGAGCAAGAGAAGAGGCTGCCCTTCCTGAAAAACGAGGGGCCCTATGGGCTCATCATCTGCCCATCTGTGAGTGAAGGCACTGAGACTGACACTTGCTCTGATGCGAGCACTGGCACTTGCACTGACACGAGCACTGAAACTGGCACTTGCACTGACACTAGCAAAGATAAAGATCCCCGTATAGCCTCAACAGACTGTTGGGATAAGGGCTATTAGTGAGCACATATGAAGGACGGCACGGCACACCAGGGGGTGGGTGGCCGCGCAATTCCCAGGCGCCTTTGTCTTCTGAATGACGATGTTTACATATCGCACTGGGTACTCATTTGAAGCTGAGTCGACCTCGGGGAGGCCCAGTACCGGTTCAGATAATCGTCACTGTTGTTTGCCGTGAGCGGGAATCGAACTCGGGTCGTCAGGTTCGTAGCACAGCATTCTAACCACTGTGCCACCGCCCCCCATAGACCCAATGCACAGCAAAGATACAAAACAAAGACCCCCCGTATAGCCTTAACAGATTGTGGGAGCAAGCGAGCACCTTTGAAGGAATGGCACGCGAGAGGGTGGGTGGCCAGCACCACGCTCGGTCGCCTTTGTCCCCCTAGTGGTGATGGTTACACCGCACCAGGTACTAATTTTAGGCTGAGTCGACCTAGGGGAGGCCCAGGACTGGTTCAAATAATCGTCACTGGTGTTGGCCGTGAGCGGGAATTGAACTTGGGCCGCCAGATTCTTAGCGCAGTGCGCTAACTGCTGCACTACCGCGACTGCACATACAGACAACCACGTACACAATCATAGCTCACACTCTTGATTTCTCTTTGTTAGTCCTCCTCCTCCCCATAATCCCCCTCCTCACCCCTCTTTTTCCCCACCCTCAGCGTGAGCTCGCTCGACAGACGCACTCAATCCTGGTGCACTACTCGCAGTGCCTGCAGGACGACGGCTTCCCGGCCCTGCGCTCTGCCCTCTGCATAGGCGGCACGTCCGTCAAGGAGCAGCTGGAGGAGATCCACCGGTCAGTGCCTACTGCTCAGTCACGCACCCTTTCGCTCGCTGGCTTGCACTAGCCTACCTACCGATCTGCTCGCTCAACCGATTGTTCTTCCGCTCGCCATAACCCCTGCCTACACGATCGCCGTGTCGCCCACTCAACGGCCTCTTAGCTCAAACGATCACTCATGATTGCTTGACCGTACAGGTATCCCTTTATTTACGAACGTTCAGTTTACGATAGCGTCATAGTATCCCTACAGTGGAACAGTTATGATGCCACATCACCTTTCCAGTCATTCCAACATGCTGATCTTTTGGTCAATAATTATTTTAGTTTTATATTCATTATTATTCAATCGTTTTCATATTTAATTTATGATTTTAGGGGGGATTGTGAATAGTGATATAGGTGTATATTTGTAGGTTAGGAGTAGAGTGGGAATTATTTTCCAAACACATCCCTAATTTTTGGTATTAAATTAATTGGAAAATATATTCCGATTTAAGACATTTCATTTAACACGTTTTTTTTTATTCTTCCCTTTCATAAATCGAGGGATACCTGCATTGTATTGAGTGGTCCCTGTGTGGTTTTGTAGTGTGCCCTCTTATATACTGTATTTTCAACCTGTCATAACTTTGACCAATTGCCCACTCAGCTGATCGCTTATTTAACCGCCAGCTCACCAGTTTGCTCGCTTGTTCACTCACTCATTCAACCACTTAACCAACCCCTTCACTCTCTCGCCCATTCAGTCACTCAACCTACTAAATTGCTCACTCACTCACTAGTTTGTTCACTCGCTTACCCTCTTGCTCACCTGCCTACTCGACAAAAAGGCAAAGATACCCCATATAGCCTCAGCAGAATATTGGTGCAAGTGCTGTTAGCGACTACCTATGAAGGCCACCTCGGCACACGAGAGTGTGGGTGTATGCATTGTTCTTTTTTTTTGGTGTGGTTTTCATATAAGCCCTCTTGGGTTTTCAACCTCACCTGCACACATTTTTACCTTGTTTTTTATTTTCACTGTTTGTCTTTCACTTGTCTTTTTTGTGCGAATAATAAAATCAGCACCATGTCCGGCCGCCTTTGTCTCCCTAGTGGCAATGTTTACACACTGCACCATGTAATCATTTGAGGCTTAGTTGACTAAGGGGAGGCCCAGGACCGGTTCAGATAATCGTCACTGGTGTTGGTGGTCGTCAGCAGGAATCAAACTTGGGCCACGGGGTTCGTAGCGTATTGCGCTAACTGCTACACTACTGCTCCCCTACTCGAGAATCAATTTACTCACCTGCACACACAACTTCTCACTCGCTCACATATTTAATCACACAGAAACTCACTCGTCCAGCAGTTGTTGCAGTCTGTTATGATTGTTGTTGACTGGCTGTTGGTGGCTGGTGGTTGTGCAGGGGGGTGCACATGATGGTGGCCACCCCTGGCCGCCTCATGGATCTCCTGCAGAAGCGCATGCTGGGCCTTGACGTGTGCCGCTATCTGGCGCTGGACGAGGCTGACCGCATGATTGACATGGGCTTTGAGGAAGACATCCGAACCATCTTCTCTTACTTTAGGGTACGTTTACCCAGTCGTCCACATGCACACACTTTCATTAGTCTGCCTATTCAGTTAACAACAACAACCACCATTCGCCATTAAGTGGCGGTGATGTCACCATGGTGCTTGTGCCAGAATATGTGCACTTTAAAGCAACGTGAAGTGTCGAAGGCTTGCTGGCAGGAGGTCAGGGAACAGATCTAGGTGTCATGGGTTTACTGATTGAGATTACTGGCAGATGCACCACCTGTACCCCCAACTGTGGCAACTTGCTGTGTTTTAGCTACCTCGTTGTTGTAAGCATCACTCTTCTGCCCTCTGCTATTGTTGGAGTGCGACTCCCTCCAACTGCCCAGTAGCGTCCTTCACGAGCCTCCTTCACAGAGGCCGATCTTGACCTTGCTGGTACTAGTCATCGGCAATTCCACTCGGCTCCATATCTTCTCGCATCACATCAATCCATATCTTTGCTAGCCCATGCCGTGGCCGTTTAGCCCCCTCTATCTGGTCAAACAAAAGCTGTTTGGGCATACGGTAGCTGGGCATTGTGGGCTATATGACCCAGCCAATGCAGTCTTGCTTTCCAGAGGAGCGTGTCCAGATCTTTAATGGATTTATGAGCTCTTTACACAATCCAGTCTAATGAAACACAGGATGGATCGTAGGCAGGTCAGCCTGAATGCTTCAAACCTGTTCACTCAACCACGAGCCCACATGTACACACATTCATTTGTTTTGAGATGTATTGTGTTGTGATATATTGTGAACAGTCCTGTGGACCCACCATCCGCAGGACGAAGGGTGAGGGGTGGGTGTGATGCCAGTATGGCAGGGAGAGGAATGCCCTCGGACAGACTATCGGTGCCGTTTTTGTGTGCTATCCATTCCCACTATTTCCGAAGTGAGAGCTGTGTCCGTATTCTTGGTGTTAAAGTCGTTCACTGTGGGTGTTGGACTCTGCCAAGGGTGCGTCTTGTCTCCACTCCTGTTTGTGATTTTCATGGATAGGATATCAAGGCGCAGCCGAGGTATGGAGAGTATCCAGTATGTGGGCATGGAGGTGGCGTCACTGCTTTTAGCAGACGACGTTGTCCTCTTTGCCTCCTCAGTCTGTCATCTCCAGTGTGTACTTGAACGGTTTGATGCCGAGTGTGAAGCGGCTGGGATGAGGATCAGCACCTCCAAATCTGAGATCAACAGCTGCCCTTGGTGGAGGAGTTTAAACACATCGGGGTCTCTTTAGCGAGTGTTTGTCAGTGGGAGCGGGAGATTGGCCAGCGGATCGGTGCGGCGTCCGGAGTGATCCGGGCGCTGTACTGTTCCGTGGTGGTGAAGCGGGAGCTGAGTTTTCGAACAGAGTTCTCGGTTTACAGGTCGATTTACTTTCCCACCCTCACCTATGGTCATGAGCTTTGGGTAATGACCGAAAGGATGAGATTCCGGGTACAAGGGGCCGAAATGAGGTTTCTCCGCAGGGTTGCTGGGCTCACTCTCCGTGATCGGGTGAGGAGCTCGGTAATCTTGGAGAATCTCGGAGTCGAGCCGCTGCTCCTCTGAATCGAGAGGAGCCATTTGAAGTTGTTTTGGCACCTGGTAAGGATGCCCCCGGTAGACTCCCCCTGGAACTCTACCGGGCAGCACGTCCCAATGGGCAAGACCCCAGGGCCGGCCCAGGACATGCTGGTGGGACTATGCTGCTCGGCTGGCCTGGGAACGCCTGGGAATTCCCCAGGAAGAGCTAGAGTCCGTCACCAGGGAAAGGGAGGTCTGGACCGCCCTCCTCAATATGCTGCCGCCGTGACCCTCACCAGGACGAGTGGATTGAGAAACTAACAAACAAAATTGTGAGCAATTGTGCGTTGTTGTTTTGGGTTTTTTTTTGTCATTTATTTTGTTTACCCAGGTGATAACTCAAGAGACCAGGATGAGTCTTATTTGTCACAGTGACCTGGGGCATTAGTCTCAGTAGGAAGCGATGGTTGCAAAATCTGATCCTAATTGGGTCAGTGGCAGGTAATTATTGTATTTGTCGAATGTGAACCCTGACGTAGTTTGTATCGTGCTATATTGTATTGAGTGGTCCCTGTGTTGTTAGTATTGTGCTGTGTTGAGTGGTTCCTTTGTGTCTCTGTGATTTACTGCCAACAGGGCCAGAGGCAGACCCTCCTTTTCAGCGCTACGATGCCCAAGAAGATCCAGAACTTTGCGCGCAGTGCACTCGTGTTGCCAGTCACCATCAATGTCGGGCGTGCGGGCGCGGCCAGCTTAGACGTCATCCAGGTGAGGATGAGTACGTAGGTGCGTATAGGTGTGAGTGTAGGGGTATTGGGGTGTGAGTGCAGGTGTATTGGGTATGGGTGTAAATGTATTTGGGTATAAGAAATATTGTGTAAGAGTGTATGTGTGTGTAGGCATTTTCGACCAAGATCTCCCTTCTAACCCGACTAGACTCATGGGACAAGTACTGTTAGCGTGCACCTATAAAGGCCGGCACGGCAAACCAGGGGGTTAGTGGCCAGCACCACGCCCGGCCGCCTTTCCCCAGTGGCGATGTTTACATACAGCACCAGGTTCTCATTTAAGGTTAAGTCGACCTAGGGGAAGCCCAGGACCGGTTTAGATAATCGTCAGTAGTGTTGGCCATGAGTGGAAATCGAACTTGGGTTGCCGGGTTCATAGCGCAGCACGCTAGTGTGTGTGTGTGGTTTCAGAGGCGCAGTGGTTAGTGCAGTACACTGAACCCGGTGACCCGAGTTCGATTCCTGTTCATGGCCAACACCAGTGCCTGCCTTCATAGGTTCTCACTAATTGAACTTTCTTCTACAGTCTGTTAAGGCTTTCTAGGGGTTCTTTGTGTGTAGGTGGTATGTGTACACAGCATTGTTATAACTTCGCATTTGTTTCACCGTATTAGCATGCGTTGGTTCGCATGGATGGATATGTGGTGTAGGAATATGTGGTGTGTGTGATTTCCATGTTTTTCTCCACACTTGCGCTGACGTGCATTCTCTCGCCTCTCTCCGTACCCGCACAGGAGGTGGAATACGTGAAGGAGGAGGCCAAAATGGTCTATCTACTTGAGTGTCTACAAAAATCTTCACCCCCAGTACGCACATTGCAACTCGTTCAGCTCGCGCAGAGGCATAACACAGACCCACAGCCTTGACACAAACCCTCAGCCTCAACACGAACCCACACACTTAACACAAACCCGAGCCTCAACACAGACCCACAGCCTCAACACAGACCCACAGCCTCAACACAGACCAACAGCATCAACACCCACCCACAGCCTCAATAGAAACCTACAAACTCTACACTAACCCACAGGCTCAACACTAACCCATAGGTTCAACACTAACCCACACATTCAACACAGACCCACAGAAACACTTAGCCCATAGCAAATGAAGATAAGATGACTTTGACCGGGTATATGTGAAGCAGTTTATCAGTGTAAGCAGACTCCGCCTGCTAATTGCACAATCGCACATCTCCCGATTGTCCTTGGCAGGTGCTGATCTTTGCTGAAAAGAAGGCGGACGTTGATGCTATCCACGAGTACCTTCTGCTCAAGGGTGTGGAGGCAGTCGCCATTCATGGAGGCAAAGGTAACGACCACTGCCTGACTGCTGATGGGACACTGAATGTTGAAGCCGATCCAGAGTTTTCTTCTGTTCAACTCAATGTTTGCTGAAATGATCTACTCACCAGAATCGGAATCAGAATTTTAACCTAAACTATTTTTTATTTTACAGGTAAAGCCCACTGACCTACTAGCTCTTTTTCAGATGCAATATGGCCACAAATGATAGCTCATTCAAGTTGTTTATCATGTGGAAATTTATAGTAGTAGCCAAATAATCTAAAACACACGTTTCTAAATGGGTAGGAATAAACTGGAGTACCCGAACAAAAATCCACGCGGCCCCAGGGAGAGAGAAGATGCATACCAGGCGAGATGTAACATCTCGACAGAGTTTGCTCGCGTTGAACTATTATTGCTGAAATGATGCACTCCCAAGAATGGGAAACTCTATCCTGGAGGAATCTTGACGAGCTATGAAGCTCGTTTTTACAGATGTCCTTTAGTGGCACGTCAGAAATTTACAACAACCAGAAGGCCATGTGACTGATGATGTGTCAAATACTCTTGTTTTTTTACATGAAGTTGACAGACATTTGAAGGATGCATATTTAATTTACTTACTTATTTTGTTACTTATAGTTTTCACAACGAGGCTGGTGATTGTACTGTTGAAGAGCTAATTGGAGAACAGTGTTAGAATATTCATGATGCACATCCATACAGCCCAGTCTATTCACACTCATTTTAATGAATGAGTGAGTGTGAAAAGCCCAGTGCCTTCACAGCTACTTATCCATTGCATACAATGTACAGTCCACTTATCATCGCACTGCTGGGTCAGCGCTTCCACACGCTGTATGGGCCGTGAGGGTTATTTGATTATACTTCACCGCCCTGATCTGTGCTGCTATCCATCACATCGCCCACACTGCAGGTCGCAACCCTATGCTTCTTCCCTCGTACTGCTCACTTTTGGAATTCTCTCCTCCCATTGTCTGTTTACCCACCAATTTGAGAAATTTGTTCACTTTTATCCTTTCCAGCTTTGATGGAGCTGTTTCTTGCTGGTTGCTTGACGTTTTGGACCTTTGGTCGCATGCTGAGCGGCTGGGGTGCCACGGTGGCAAGATGTTGTCTCTCAATCTTGATTTGAAGCTTTCGTGACTGCAGGAATCCATACTCTTTGGTTCTTTCGGTTACGTAGGTAGAAAAATAATAGATCACTTATTTTTTTATCTACGTGACTTTACCGAAAGAACCAAAGAGTATGTTATCTCTCGCCTGGTATGCAGGAGGCCGTGGGCTCGATTTTGACCCTCATGCCTGTATATTTGGAGTTTGCATGTTGTCTGTAGTTGCGTCGACTTTCTCTGGGTCCTCTGTTTTTTTCATCCACATTCACTACATGCTAAACTTTTTTAAACCATTTTATTTCAGAAGCGACCTGGCCACAAATTCTAGCACTTCATGTGCACTTTGGTGCTAGACCAACGCTGCTCATTAAACTAACTCCGCGCAGCTCTTCTGTCATGACCAAGCACAGAGGCTATGCTCAACCTTTGTTAACGATAAGAAAGACTTTAAAGGTGTAGGGAGAAACTCCATCAGAGGTGATGTCTCTGTGACGACGTTGCATTAGCATGAACAACACAGTTGCTGTGCCCCAGATACGACAACAGGATTTCACCTCTGGCCAAATTGTGCTTTGTATAGTTGTCATAATAGTTTCGGAGTTAAGATAAAAACCTAAACAATTTTCTTTACCGGGTAAACCCCACCAAGCTATTAGTTCTTTTTCAGAAGCCACCCGGCCACAAATGATAGCTCAGCAAAGTGGATTATCACGTGGAAATGTAAAGCAGCCAAATACTCTCAACACATGTTTGTAAATGTGGTGGGAAAAACTGGAAGACCCGAAGAAAAATATACGCAACCATGGGAAGAACATGCAGACTCCACATATACAGGCGTCAGGGTCGGGACCGAATTCACGACCTCTTGGTGGTGCTGATGAGGCAGCCAGAGCAGACTTGTGATGCTTTAACACCCTTCATGGTCGAACAGAATGGGAACAAAGCTATGGCCTTTGTTGTGACAGCCGCTTTAACCTCCCGTTGGCTGTCCCCTCTCCCCATGCAGACCAAGAGGAGCGGACCAAGGCAATGGAATCGTTTCGCGAGGGCAAGAAGGACGTCCTCGTGGCCACAGATGTGGCCTCCAAGGGTCTGGACTTCCCCAACATCCAGCACGTCATCAACTACGACATGCCGGAGGAGATCGAGAACTACGGTAGGTCGAGCGGGGGAGCGCCTGTTCATCATTCACCTGTGGTGAATGGCGGAGAGAACGAGTTGAGCGGTGTGGTTTGGGGCAGTGACGTGACCCAGCGGTATCAAAATCGGAATCAGGGGGCGCCGAGGTGGCGAGATGTTATCTCCCTCGCCGGGTATGCAAGAAATCATGGGTTTGATCCTGACCATGGCGACAACTATATATTTGAAGTTTTCACGTTCTCCCCATGGTCGCGTGGATTTTTCTCAGGGTCCTGCATTTTTTCCCTTCACATTTAGAATCATGCATTTAAAATATTTGGTTGCTACTATGAATTTCTATGCGATAAGCCACTTTTTGTTGAGCTTCTGAAAAAAGAGTTAATAGCTCAGTGGGCTTTATCTGGTAAAATGAAATTGTCGTCATAGATGAGGCTGTTTTGCTTGTTTCTGTGCTTTATTCAGTTCACCGAATCGGCCGTACGGGGCGATCTGGCAAAACGGGTATCGCCACCACCTTCATTAACAAGTCCTGCGGTAAGTGTTTCTCTGTATTTTGTGTGTTTCTTCGTGTGTCTCTTCATGTGTCTCTTCGTGGGTCTGTGGGCACATGTGCGTGTGAATTTGCATGCACAGTCAGTCGACCCATGACACCTGGGTCTGTCCCGTGACCTGTCGGTGAGCCTTCATGTGACCTCAGTGCACCTGACCTGACACAGGCGCCGTGTTGACGTCACCGCCACTTCGTGGCGAATGACAGCTGTTGTTTTCGTTCTCTGTGTGTATGTCCGTGTGTGAACACAATGACTTGCAGTTGATTCCTGGCTATGGGCAATATCAATGAAAACTGGTATCAGAACCTTTGCTGGACTTTCTCCTGTTGTGGAATGTAAACATCAGCTTTGAGGAGAATGGGTTAGCCCTTCTTATCCTGGCTACATCCCCAAACCCCTTGTGTAATGGCATGGCCTTAATATGTGCATGCTCATGGAAAAGTCCATTCAGAACTCTCCAAGTGAGCATTGTGATGTCACATGATGTCCCAGGTCCTGGAAGATGATATCACAGAACTACTTGTGAAGTCATTAATTTTCCTATTATTTGCACGAGGCACACAACCTGTATATGCCCTGCACAAAGTGCTTGAGGTTTGTAATTCCCAATACCTGGAATTCAGCAAAGTTTAGAATCAGAATCTTTATTTGGACTCGAGGAATCCGATGAGCGATAAAGCTCTTCTTTCACAAATGCCCATTAGGGGTAGGTCAGCAAGTTCCAACAACAAACAATGCAGAAAACAAAAGGAGTGCAAAATAGAGAAAAAGGTAAGCAAGCCACTAAATACTAAAATAAATGTCAGATTTTTGTTTAACACTAAATGCAAGCTTGGGCAAGGCAGCAAAACAACAAAAAACCATCCCAGACGACACCAAGACAACACACAGTCCCTGAATAAAATGACACATAAAAATTGTACTCGCGATGCACAATTAAGTGGCAACACAATTTAATATGATGTCGTTTTTTCATTGGATGGCTAAATCCCAGATGCAAACTTGGGCCATTAAATGTCCAGAGCATCTGGAAATGTCTCGAGCAATAAACACATCAGTGTTACCTTTTTAACTGAGAAACGAAGGGAGCTGCCATGGTGGTGTAATGGCACTGGTTAACATGGTTGGCTACGTACGGTGTGAAAGATGTTCAACATGCATCTGTGGGGCTCCATATTGCCTCAACCGGGCGTGCCTGGGTCGCCTAGCCGCGAGTCCCGGTGCCCCGGGCTCCGTCCGCCACTTCGTCCTAGTGAGACAATGTGGACCCCACGCTCCCCTCGTCCGACTCCAGTGTGGGGCGGTGCGCTCGTTTTGTGCAAAATGTGCGGGTAACGGGGCATCCTGGCGCTACACTCGCTACGGGAGGGCATTGTTTTTCCGTCGTCCTTGGCGTGGCTCATCGAGTTAATTCCCCGACGATGCAACCACGCACCGACGCAGATTTACCCAACATGCAGTGCGAAATGCGCGACCAATAGCACCAACGCTCGGCATGGAGGAGCGGCAGATAACACCAGCGCTCGGCGCGGGACGCGCGACCACCAGCACGAAGGCTCGGCATGAACGCACGGCTGACAATGCTAACGCTCGGCGCGGGACGTGTGACCGCCAGCACGAAAGCTCGGCACGAATGCGCAGCAGATAACGCTAAAGCTTAGCAAGGGACGCACAACCATCAGCACAAAGGCTCGATATGAACGCGCGGCAGACAACGCTAATGCTCGGCGCAGGACGTGCCACAAATGCATAGGCCCTCGCTTGCTGCTCTCTCCCACGCCGCTGCGAACACCACCCCGGGGCTATACCGCGTGTGCAAATGTGTGAACTCTGGGCGTTATGCTGCGTCGCCCCCTCCCGACTATTCTCGCACACACACTCAATCCACTACTTACACAGAAACTGGAGACACCATGCCGTCTACCCTCTTTATTTTGAGCGCGAATCCTTGAATGTAAGCCGTCTAGTTGGTACGACTCGAGAGTGTATTACGAGAAAAACCTTATCTAACACTGCCAATCCACCTAGTCGACCAAGCGTCCTCCGTCGTACCTCGTAGCTGCAGTTGCTGGTTTCGCACAGACACTGTGAGCGGCGAAGAGAGGGGTGCTGACTGAGATGTCCACCGCGAAGAAGTAGGAGACAAGATGGCCCCCTCGTTCCCAGGTCTCACCTTTTATTTCCAACTGCAAAGGACCTGGGTCACGTGATACTGCCTCGACCAATCGTGAGCCTACCTATAGCCACATGCGGGGCCTTCCCTCTCACACAGACCATGGCTGCCTTTGATCTCCCCTGACCCATTATTGTCATATCATCTCATAGAGTCCCTGGCACATAATATGCTACACAGTGGCAGTGGGGGTTGCAAAATGCCGATTTATTACTAATAAACCCCAATGATCCAATCGAAATCCCTAATTTCGATCAGATCATTGGGGGGGCACGTGCCACCCCACCCTCCCCACTGGCTCCGCCAGTGCTCAGAAACCCCCGGCTGGGTGCTGTTCAGGTGGAGTTTGTCCCAGTGGATGAGAAGGTCGCCTCAAGGAGACTTCGGGTCTTATAAAGGAAAACTCTATGCTTTTGCACCAAACAGCAGTTTAAAGTATTCGGCCTTCTCGGAGACGGTGGCTGCAGTGCTCGACAGTGTCGCCTACCGTCTCCATAGTCTTACTGGGTGACTTCAATGCTCACGTGGGAAATGATGGAAATACCTGGAGAGGAGTGATTGGGCGGATTGGCTACCCTCGATCTGAACCCGAACGGTGAGATGTTATTGGAATTCTGCACTAGTCACAGAATGCCAATAACAAACACCATGTTCGAACACAAGGATGCTCATAAGTGTACTTGGTGCCAGAGCACCTTGGGCCGAATGTCATAGTTGTATCATCGGACCTAAGTCTGTATGTTTTGGACAGAGAGGGGCAGAGCTGTCAACTCACCACTTGGTAGTAAGTTGGATCTGACCCTTGGGGCACCGACCAGATAGATGTGAAAGGCCCAAACAAATAGTACGAGTTTTCTGGGTACTTATGGCAGAAGACCCAGTGCAGAATGATTTCAACTTTCACCTCCAGGAAAACTTCTCCTGAATTTCCGGGGAGGTCGTGGACATTGAGTCCAACTGGACGATGTTCAGGACCTCGATTGGGGATGCAGCTGCGAAAAGCTGTGGCCTGAAGGCAGTTGGTGCCTGTCATGGCGGCAACCCTGGGACCCGCTGGTGGACACCATTGGTGAGGGAAGCTGTCAAGTTGATGAGGCTTTCCGAGCTTAGCTCAGAAAAAGGTCTCCGACTCGATTGAGAGGTACCGGCTTGCCAAGCAAGCGGCTGCAGCAGTCACAGAAGCGAAAGCCCGAGCGTCAGAAGAGTTTGTAGAGGCCATGGAGAGGGCTCCCAGGCAGCCTAAAGGATATTCTGGCAAACCAGCCTTAGGGGAGGGGTCGACAGGACGTGGCCCAGGTTGTATTCAGGAAGGGTGGCATAAAATTAACCTCAACTTAGGAGATAGTTGCGAGGTGGACGGAACACTTTAAAGAGCTCCTCAAAATTCTAGAGATCTGTTTAGCAGAGGCTCCTTGGCCAGCATGTGGTGACTTGGGTCTTATGTGTTGTTTGGATGTTGATACTTGTATTCATTGGTAATGTTCTGCTGGAAATGGTTACTGGTTCTGAGAATGGTTACCAGTTAATTGGTGATTAACAAGACAGAATCAAACCCGGAGTGTGGCCTGTGACAGCCTCTTAATTCCCAATTCTCTGTTGCCATTTTGCCTGACCTCAACCTCCAAGTAAAAATATCTCCTGTTTAGCCTTAAACTGTTGGGTAAAGTGCTGTTAGCGAGTACCTATAAAGGCCGGAATGGCACAGGAGGGGGTGGGCCAACACCACGCCCGACCACCTTTGTTTCCCCAGTGGCAATGTTTACACACTGCACCAGGTGCTCATTTCAGGCTGAGTCGACCTGGGGGAGGCCCAGGACCAGTTCAGATAATCGGCACTGTTCTTGATGGCTGTGAGCAGGAATCGAAACTTGGGTCATGGCCGAGTTCATAGTGCAGTGCTAACCGCTGCCCCACCACTTCCCACTAACCGGGCACTCCACATACACGTCAACCTCTACACGCATGTCCACAGACGAGTCGGTGCTCATGGATCTCAAGGCTCTGCTCATGGAGGCCAAGCAGAAGGTGCCGCCTGTGCTGCAGCTGCTGCAGACGGGCGACGAGTCGATGCTGGACATCGGAGGTGAGCGTCATAGGGATGAACGAAAGAATAGGGGGGCACCGTGGTGGCTCGATGTTATCTCCTACGTCTGGTATGAAGGAGGTCGTGGGTTTGATCAAAACCCTGATGATACCTGTTGTATATTTAGAGTTTACGTCTTCTCTTTCTCCTCGTGGTTGCGTGGATTTTCCTCCGGGTCTTCCGGTTTTTCCCTGCACATTTGGAATTGACGTGTTTAGATTACTTGGCTGCTACTATAATTTTCCACATGATAAGCCACTTCAATGAGCAATCATATGTGCCCAAGTCGCTAATTTAAAAAAGTGCTAATAACTCTGTGCTTTAACTGGTAAATAAAATAGTTTTAGTTTTTGTAAGCTTTACCCTTTCTGGCAATAATACAGGAGGTGTTAACATGTCCAAACACCAAATCGACACCTTTTATATCAAGTCTGCATTAACCACACATGCTTGTGTTAAACCATGCAGACAAATATGCTTTATTTGTCTTTTAAACTCATTGGCCAAGACCAGTGTTTGACCAGAGAGCGCCAAAAGGCAAACAGCACAAAGGCAATGCAAAAATTAATACTCATAATAAAGGTTTGTTGGGTTAGATCGCATTATTTATAAATGTGTCGCAACCCTCCACTACCCGACACGGCTAATCAGTAAAATGTTCACTACTTTAGCCCACTGGTGTGTTGAATGAATCCACATTTCCAATTTTTGAGTACAACGTTTTGCTGGTAATTACATCCGGCATCATCTGTGTGTGTGCCCGTGTGTGCGGTTGTGTGTGCGCGTGCCCGTGTGTGTGTGCTTGCCCGTGTGTATCCTCGTGTGCGTGCATGCGTATGTGAGCAGGCGAGCGTGGCTGCACATTCTGCGGTGGTTTGGGTCACCGTATCACGGAGTGCCCGAAACTGGAGGCCCTGCAGACCAAGCAAGTCAGCAACATTGGCCGCAAGGATTACCTTGCGCATGGCTCCACTGACTACTGAGTGCCACGCTGGCTTCCACTGCCATTGGGCAGAGTGGATGGGTGGAGGGAAGGGTGAAGGAGGACAGAGTGGATGGGTTTCTCTCGGCGTTGTCGTTGTGGGAATTTCGGCCCAGATGAGGTCTGAGTGCTCACGGAGGAGGTGAAGTAAAGGGCACTTCAATGAAAATTTCAACCCAGATTTAAAGTGACTGGTGTTTTGTAAAGATGCACAAATGCTTTGTGTCCCAGAGTTTTATGTTAAATGTTTAAAGATCTGTGAAATATTAAAATGGGTAGTAATGGCTACGTGGCTTCCAGGCACGACTGCCATAGTGTCCTCTACTGAAGGCACAGCCTCAGTCGATTCTGCTCACAACGACAGCCTCGACACAGACGCACAGCCTCAACACACCCACGGGCCCAACACAGATGCATAGCCTCAATACTTACAACCTGTACATTGACCACAGTTTCAACACTGACCCACAGTCGTCTCTACACAGACGCATAGCCTCAACAGATATACAGCCTCAACATAGACCCCTCAGCCTGAACATGGACATCCACATACATCTGTTTTACAATAAGAAACAATAAAACTTTTATTTTTAAATAAACGTTGTGACCATATCTATTTGTCTTGTTTCATACAAATTTGGGGGGGGGGGGGGGGTGGGGAGGTGTGAGACCTGAAGGAGTTCAGATTCTGGGGTCTGGAGAGATCTGACGTCCTGGGGGGTCTGCGGTGGGTCCACAGGAGGGTTCCGGGTGGTGAAAATGGCTGAAGAATTACACTGCCAACACGACACGCGTTACAGTAACACCTTACTGATAACATTTTTCTCGAAATATCTCCAGAACCCTACATTCTACAGACTCGAGTCATGTACCATTCTACTCGTATTGTATAGGGAATATTTATGTACTGTACCATGTTGCCTTCTGAGGCATCTGACTTGCAAACCTTGAAAGTCTCAATTCCATTGCAGGGAGTCTCAAAACCATACACGGGAGTCCTAATTCCAAATCAGGAGTGAATTCCACATCCTGGAGTCCGAATTCCTATGCCATGGAATTAGGACTGGGCCGTCACGAACATGCCTTTGTTGCCAGACCGGAATATGCTGCAGGGTCCCACAGTGATTCGTCCGCTATATGAGTTGGTCCTGTGGGCGGCACAGGAGCATATGTGGTGCCACGACCGCGGAGCAACTCTGCAAGCGCCGCGATTCCCTGCCGGCCCCCGCACTAAACACACCCACATGCAGCGCACCCATGTAGTGTCCTGGCGGGGGATTGCCTGGCACGTCGGGTCTTGATCCGAAGGGCCCCTAGAGGAGAGTCCCACGGTTTCCCGATGCCAGGAGATTGGCCGACCCTCGCAGGACAGGTTACATTGCGATGTCCCTAAAATTGGTTTAAAATTGTATGGGCGCAGAAAGAAAAGATTCCCTAGGCCAACCGGAATGAGTTACAACATTGGGGGGAGGACGGAGGGCAGAATATTAAGCAAGTAAAAGCGCAAGAGCCCTTCCAGACAATGGGCAACGAGGGACAATGGGTGGCCGCCGCCGCAGCACTCGAGGAAGGACGCGGTTACAAGAGGGCGGTAACCACAGGCGCACGATTGGTCGCGCGGGACAAATGCCATCCCGGCCCTTTGAAGTGAGGAGGAATAAAAAATGGGGGCCCTGGACGATTTTCGGTCTCTTGGCTTCAACCTCCGGGCGGTCAAGACCCTCTCCCTGCCGTCCTGCCTCTTCGAGACCCTCGCAGCATCCGTGTGATGCCAGCATGTGCTGCTGCGAGAATGTGATAGGTCAAGTCTTCCCTCGTCCTCGCTCCGACTCTCAGCGTCCGTCGGACGCTGCGAGTCCAGCTTCGAGGTAGGTGGTAGGACGTTTGACGTTTGTGTGACTGGGTTCATAGGCAGAGTTCGGCTAGGCTCTCCTCGCAATATATTCCACCTCCAGGTAGAGTGTATTTGCGCCGTTAATAAACTTTAGTTCAGAGTATCGGTGCAGCATGTTTTCTGTGTGTGTGGGTAGAACCTCGGCGTGGTGTCTGCGATTTGTGTGGTGCGACTGTGCGGGGAGATGGTGTGCACGAGAGAGAGCGAGCTTGGGGCTGCAGCGTTGGCGCGGTGTTAGTAACTTGAGCGTGTGTGTGAGGCGCGCGTGTTTTAAAACGCGCGCCTGCAGTGTGCCGCGTGAGTAATTAGGGCGGCGGGGTGCGATAAACCCGCTCGCCGGCATTTACACAGCGTGTTTACACAGCGGCAATAGCATTAACGGCGAGGCGTGTGCGTGTATTCATACAGCCCTTTAGCATTAGCCTTTGTGTGCTAGCAGATTAGGGCTTAACCACCCGGAGGGGCACGCGCATATTAATACCGCCGCCGTCCCGTTTTATTTAGCGCTAACCTTTGCGCAAAACACGCGCCTGCAGGGGCGCGTGCGTGCACGCCTCCGCTTGTGTGGTGGTGGTGTACGTGGGCGTGTGCGGGATAACCCAAGGCGGTGGTGAGCCAGCCAATCAGCCATGTCCCTCCGAGAGGGCGCTGGCGCGGGGGGGGATCACTCGATCGGCGGGGGCCCGGCGAGAGGCGACCGACGAGGAGCAGGGGGGAGTGGAGGGGGTGGACGTCGCGCCTCGTCCGCTCACAGGGAGCGGGGAGGCGGGCGTCAGCCCCCACACATGTACGGGTAACTCAATTTCTCCGGACGGCTGCTGTGGCTCGTCTGACACCCTAGACCACGGCGGAACAGGACATGGAGATGAGGTGCTTGTGTGATGATGATGGTGGTAGGGTTTGAGACGCAACGGGCTGAACAAACCAATGGCGACGTATTCTTAGGTTTTTTTCGGTAAAGTCACGTAGGTAAAAAATTCATAAAAGTAAAATAAAATAAAAATCACGACGTTTCGGAGGCAACACAAGCTTCCGTCTTCAGGTGGAACCGTCACAGCACGATAGCTGTATCAAGTGATTTTTATTTTATTTTTATTTGACTTTTATTAATTTTAATTTTTTACCTACGTGACGTTACCGAAAAAAACCTAAGCACATGAATCCTTGCAGTCACGAAAGCTTCAAATCTAGAATCAATGGCGACGTCCCAACTGCACATGTTTGCCATCGCCGCTGTGCGTGCTTCGAACAGTCGGTCGAGCGTTACCTGCAAGGACGCAGGTCAGTCGGGCACACCTGTGAGGGACTTACCCAGCTGGCTTTCTATGGGCGGATTTGGCTCTCAGCCATACATAATAAACAAGTAAACCCGTAAAAACAAAGTTTTTCACTATAAATCCTTTATATGCGTGGCGGCTAGAGTCCTCTCGTCCTCTGGCTTGAGATGGCTGCCACCTATGGGTCAGATGATTGTCTGCCACCATTAAGCAATTGGTAATTAAATATTTAATTTGTTTTCCCTAAACAGTGTAAAAATTGGCATTTTCTTTTTTTCACAAAAGTTAATTGTCACACACAACGAGTCTGTGTGGAAAATGTCAGCTCGATTAGATCACGGGAAGTGGGTTAAAAAACGAGCGAAAGATTTGCACGGTCCTAAGCAAGCAAGCGAACTTAATATAAAGGATTTAAAAATATATTCGCCTGTGGAGGACGCGGGGATCGATCCCGCGACCTTTGGCATGGGAAGCGAGGGCGCTACTAACTGCGCTACTCCGCCACGGCCTGTGAAGGGGTTACGCTCTGGGCTCTTATACTGTGACGTTCAGCCAAAGCCAAGAATGAGTTCTATTTCAATATATGTAAAATAATTTTTTTTGCCTAAAAAGTGTAACATTTTGGGAATTTTTTTTCACGAACAATAATTGTCTGGCACAACGAGTCTGTGTGGAAAATGTCAGCTCGATTGGATCACGGGAAGTGGGTTAAAAAACGACCGAAAGATTTGCACGGTCCTAAGCAAGCAAGCACGCAAGCACGCAAGCATGCGAACTTAATATAAAGGATTTAAAAAGGGGGAAATCCCGTGGAAGCATGTGGGGCCAGCCTATATGTTGCCAAAACCCCCGGGGTATGGAGATTTCAGTAGGTCCGCACCTCATCTCCAGCGTGGCAATGCATGGATGTTATCGTTCTGTTTGGTTCTTTCAGTAAAGTCACGTAGGTAGAAAAATCGCAACACAAGCAATCGTCATCAGGTGGGACAACCACAGCAACAAAAAAACTGCTGCAGTAGGCGAGAGTTTCTGCCGTGGCACGAGGTTATATAGGCATCGGCAGTAGGGGGGGAGAGAGGAGGTGGGGGGAGAGAGGGGGCGGGGCAGAAAGTGGACCACGTGGCAGCACTTGGAGAGATCTGAGAGATCGGCTTTAGGGGGGGAGAGAGAAAGGGAGGGAGAGAGAAGGGGGGGGGGGAAGCGGGGCAGAAAGTGGACCCCGCGGCAGCACCTGGGTCACTGGAGTACTAGAGTAGAGATCGGAGAGAGATGCATAGAGAGAGAAAGGCACAGAGAGTCGGAAATAACAGCTGACATAGGCAGGTAGGATGGAAACATCACAGTCAGTTAAGACTTTACCTGGTTAATAACGTCCTTCCAATGATTGCTCAGTTTGTACCCATCTTCTCGGTGGAAGTTGTGTCTGTGTTTATATATCTGGATGGCTTCATGAACAAATCTCTGATGATAGCTGGTGGATTGGCAGAATACTTTCGTCTTGGAAAAATCTATTTTGTGTGTGCCCACGGCGTTAAAACAATGATCAGCAACGGCAGAGGTATTGGTCCTACCATGTTTCACATCTCCCTTGTGTTCGTGAACGCGGTCCGAGACATGTCGTTTCGTTTCTCCAATGTAACTGCTGCCGCAGCCACAACTCAGTTTGTAGACACCAGGGTATTGCATGTCAGGAATCACATTCTTTACAGATGGGATCAAATGACAGATTTTGTGTACTGTGTAGAAACGAACCTGGATCTTGTGTTGTCTTTCTCCTGATTTTCAAGCTTGCGTGCCGTGCCGCGTCGTCATCTTACTTGCAGCAGCATCACGTTGCCGTCCACTCATTGATATGCTATTTTTTTCTCTGCCCCCTCCCTCTCTCCGCCCCCGCCCCCATCTCTATATTTAAGGCACCGTCACAGAAACGACCTCTCTCTTTGTGCCGATATGTGTCCTCTCTCTGTGTCCTCTCTCTGTGTGTCCTTGTGATGTCTGTCTGCTTGTATGTCTGTCTATAGTTTTCTAGTTAGATTTTTGTTGCTATTTCTTTTATGCCTGATGATGATTGCTTGTGTTGCAATCGAAACGTCGTAATATGCTATTATTTAATTTATTATTTTATCTTTAGACGTGACTTAACCGAAAGAACCAAAGAATAATTCCTGCAGTCACGAAAGCTCCAAAATTAAGATAGAGACAAGTATTTCATGAGGAAAAAGCCAGCGAGCCTCAAGAATCTCTTTACGAGGGACTTGCAGTGAGATATTTGGCCAATAACATGGATGCGAGTTTGGCGCTGTGGGAGGAAGCCACGGTGACACAAATGAGAACAATTTATAGCATCGATGTTCAATTTAGTTTGACAGAGTAAGAGGGTCAAATATCAGGCAAGCCTGATGAAGATGGGTCTGGATGGGCCTGGATCTCTCAAACATGTG